GCAGCACCTCCCGCAGCACCAGCAGCAGCTCTAGAACTCCCAGCAGCACCAGGAGCACTGCCAGTCGGACCGCCAGCAGTAGTCTCAGCGCTAACACCCTCAGCAGCACCAGCTCCAGGAGAACCATCAGGCCCAGCAGCTCCAGCACCCACAGCACGAGCACCTCTAGGACACGCGGCAGCAGCACCCTCTGCAGCCGAAGAACCTCCAGCACCAGCAGTACGCCTCCAGCGCCGGGCAAACCACTCACGCAGCTCCTGTGGGGAGAGTGGCTTTCGGCGCGACGAAGCACCTCCAGGCGGAGAACCTCCAGGCTCAGCACCCTCAAGCAAGGCCCCTCCAGGCGGAGCACCCCCAATCGCAGCACCCCCAGGCTCAGCACCCCCAGACTCAGCACCCCCTGGCTCAGCACCCCTAGACTCAGTACCCCCAGGCTCAGCACCCCCAGGCTCAGCACCCCCAAACTCCGCACCCCCAGGCTCAGCACCCCCAGGCTCAGCACCCGCAGCAGCACCAGAGTCACCAGTGACCTCGACAGGCTCGACCGCGTCTACCTGGGACACACCTGAAGGGGCAGGACCCTGAGGGGGGAGGGGGTCTACCGGGGGAGGACCTGGTACCAAGAAGAGCGGGGGCGGGGGAAGGGAAGGAGTGCGGTAGGGGAAGAGGCGGTAGTAGGGTACCGACTCGTCGAACGTGACGTCCTGGTAGGACAAAACACGTCGAGAGGCGGGGTGGTAGAACTGCCACCCAGGGGCGTCGGGGGGGAACCCCAGGAAAACGCAGGGAGCAGCGCAGACAAGTCACGGACAAACGCCCGAGATCCTCAGACTCGGAACGCCGATGCATCGCCAACCTTCCCCGTCCACAGCAGCGCTGGGGAGGTCTCCGGCCTGGAGACCCTGGGGTGGAGGTTGATCTGATGCACCGCGTACCTGACCGCAAACGGCCACAGAAAATGGGGGGCAGCCGCATGCATCATAGACGTACGAGCGACGTCCATGACCTTGCCAATGCGGCGCTCTGCAATCCCATTTTGCTGCGATGAGTCCGGAAGCGTGAAGGTCTGGCGGATGCCTCGCGCACGACAGAAGGCACGCAGAAGGCCAGAGGAGAACTCTCCGCCTCTGTCCGAGTGCAGACGCAACACAGGAAAGTCCGAGCCAAAGCTCTGCCTGAGCCGGAGACGAGCTGCGCGGATCCAGTCGATCAGCACCTCAGTGACATCACCCTTGCTGCGCAAGGGGAAGGCTGTGGTGTAACGCGAGTAGTCGTCAACCACCAATAGGAAGTAGCGCTCGTGACCGAGTCCACGGACGCGGGCAGGGCCCCACACGTCCATGTGAAGCGTCTGCAACGGAGCCTCTGACGGAGGAAACTCGGAGGAGTGAGGGGCAGCACGCAGGCGCCCCTCAACACAGGGGACACAGGCAGGGCCAGGGCCCTGAGGAAGGGGAGGGAGGGACCGGGGGAGACCAGACACAAGAAGACGGGAGACCATGCCTTTGAGCCGAAGCAGAGAGGGGTGGCCAAGGCGGTGGTGCCAGAGGAGGGTCTCGTGAGATAGACGGTGACACGAACAGGGGGCAGACTCAGGACCAGACCTGGACGTTGCAGCAAACACCTGACCAGACGAAGGGACTCTACCAGACTCAGCACCGGGAGGAGAAGCAGTGGTCAGTGTGTACAGGCTCGACCCTGGCTGACGTGTAAACGTAGCCAGGTGGCGACCTGTGCTAGCCTCTGTGCAGTGTGTCACCCGCTGACGAGCAGGAGTGAACTGGTGGACCCCCACATCCTGTAGGTCAGCACCACTCACCAGGTTCGTAGAGAACAAGGGGAGGTAAAGACCAGTCAGGGTGCCAGAGGGAGCCGCCGGACACGGGAGGACTGTGGAGAAACGAGACAGGACAGGACCCCCAGAGGGGTCAGCCAGGGACACCGCAACCGGCCGACTAAGCGTCGTGAGAGTGGTGCGGTCCCGAAAGAAGGAGCGAGACGCCCCAGAGTCAAGGGTGAAGGTGTGGGAGGCAGAAGCTGACACAGTACCTGAGAGGGCAGAGTCACTAGCACCTGAGAGCACAGACGCACTGGCACCTAGAGCAGCAGCCTCACCGGCACCTGACACAGCAGTACCAATGCCCGGGTCAGGCGGAAAGCACCGGTAACAGTCACCATCATCACTAACATTCACAGCATACATGGCAGCAAGGATAGCATCAAAGTCAAGATCAAACACAGCTACACCAGCCCTAGACAGCTCTCCCCAGCGGGGGATCTCAGAGGCCTCCGGAAACTGGTCCCTAACAACACGAAGGGACTCAGGGAGACGGGTGACTAGAAAGTAGAGGGTGATGTACATGGGAGGGGGGTTTTCTGCGAGGAAGGCAGCAGGAAGCGCAGCTCGGTAGCGAAGGTCACTAGCGCGAAGGTGGGTAAAGAGGTCAGTGACTGTGGGAAAGGCAGCAAGGTCAGGGAAGAGGTACGGTAGCATGAGGCGGCTCAGTGTAGCAGTGGAAGGGGAGGAGTAGCGCGCAACTACAGCGTCGTACAAGGCCTGAGCGGTCTTGCACTGACTAAAGTGGGCACGCTCGGAGGAAGGGAGGTGGCGACGCACAGCAAGACGTGCAGCAGCATCGCGTGTGGCCCACTTGGAGGGAACAGTGGGGTCAGCATCAGCAGGAGGGGCAGGGACAGCGCCAGAGACAAAGTCAAAGAGAGAAACCTCATCAATCGCATCGCACAGTAAGTACAGCTGCAGGTCCTCAATCCAGACTGCAAAGTCAATGGCGCGACCCTAAGCGTCAAAAGTCAGGACACTGGGGGTGGCCATTGTAGCAGTTGATAGTCTCACCGGGCAGGAAGAGTCGGGTAGCACAGCGACACAGCAACACGGCAGCACAGCAGCCGCGCCGGCCCAGGAGCAGTAGGAGCCGCACAGGAGCAGAAGATCGGCTCCTCGGGCCGCTCGGGCGGCTCGGGCGGCTCGGGCGGCGCGGGCGTCTCGCGGGCGGCTCGGGCGGCTCGGGTGGCTCGGGCGGCGCAGGCGTCTCGCGGGCGGCTCGGGCGGCTCGGGCGGCGCGGGCGTCTCGCGGGCGGCTCGGGCGGCTCGGGCGGCGCAGGTGTCTCGCGGGCGGCCGCACGAGCGGCTGGGACGGCTCGCGGGCGGCTGCACGGGCGGTTGGGGCGGCTCACGGGCGATGCACGGGCGGCTGCACGGGCGGGTGGGGCGGCTCGTAGGCTGCGCACGGGCGGCTGCACTGGTGGCCGCACGGGTAGGTGCACGGGCGGGTGCACGGGCAGGTGCACGGGCGACGCGGCGGCGAGGCCGCGTAGCAGAGGGCGGCGGGGCCGCGTGAGCAAGGCGGCGGGGCCGCTTAGCAGAGGGCGGCGGGGCCGCTTAGCAGAGGGCGGCGGGGCCGCTTAGCAGAGGGCGGCGGGGCCGCGATCGAAGGGCGGCAGGGCCGCTTAGCAGAGGGCGGCCTGGCCGCTAAGGAAGGGCGGCGGGGCCGCAATCGAAGGGCGGCGGGGCCGCTAAGGGAAGGGCGGCGCGACGGGCCGCTGGGGGCGACACAACGGGTCGCGAAAAAAAAAAGGAGAGCGCGCCTCGGGGTGCGCTTCGGTGGGCCCTAGAAGCAGTCCCTAGGAGGGAACCTGCTCTGATTCCATGTGAAATAACGAACGAGAATGAAATGACTATGAACGAAGTGAGTACAAATAGGAAACCCTAATTGGGTTGTACCCCCTATGGGATACCCCACTATAGCCTACACAAATAAGTGAGCTATATGTTCTGACAGCCATAGTTGGGGGCTATTCCCTCGTCCCTCGACATCGATCCAATCAGGGTAACGCCCGGCATAGCCTCACTATCAAACTCTTCCGCAATTCCTCCTCCAGCAACGCTCCGCCGTCCTACATTCGCATGCTCTCGTGACGCTGCTGCACGATGAACACGCTCCTGCACACCGCCAACGCTAGCCGTACTAAACCGAGTTGGTCCTCGCAGGACCCCACGCGACATCAACCCATCAAACTCCTCGTCATCGCTGTTTCCGCCATCGACACCCATATCCCATGCACTAGTACCTCCCGCAACTTGCTCAACATTCTCTACACGTGGCGAAGGGTGCTCACGACGCCGACGCGAGCGCAATCCCTCCAACATTAGCTCGTATTCGATATCACTAATCTCATCACGAGAATGACGAGCCACGAGATCCTCCTCTAGGGCGCGCAAATTACCGGCCTCCACGTTCGCCTCCTCTGTACTCATCCTCTATGACGTCTCTATAAGGTACCACAAATTAAAATAAAGTGTCCCTTCCTTAAATCCCTCGTCTCGGGGTCACCTCACAAGGGTCCTCAGACGAGTGGTAATAAATTACCAAACGCCCTATCCTTGGGTCCGAGAACGTAACTGGAGGGAAATCAAGAGAGGTTCAACTTAGATTAATAAGCGCCCTTCACTAACGCCGCACGCCAAGGCAAGTATACGAACGCGAATATCAACGACGATGGAAATCTATGCGTGTTCGTTCCACGCTCACCGCACCATGAAGGAATATTTTAGAGAGCGTAGCGATAACGAGAGAGTTTCTGTTATGGGAATGATGTTGCGCCAGCAACTTGGTAGAGTTTCGGTAGCGTTTGCCTCTAAGGACTTGGTGAGAATTGAAGTACGGTAGCATTTGGACTTCACTAGGAATATAGAATATCTCAAACACACAAGCAAACACAAACATATATAGGCAGGCGAGGGTTTCACAAGAGGTTGCGTGGGCGCTGCGAGTAACCCAACCCCACGAAAGTGGTGTGTGGGTGAGCGAACCCGCCTCGCCAATTTCCCAACCCAACTCAGCATCGACTTCTCGCTTCCGTGCACACCACTCCACCAACACAGCAAGGAGTGGTGCGACTCTCAAGGAAGCACCAACGACTCCCAAGGACTCTCGCTTCTTCATGCGAACTCCTGCGCAGTTGCACATAGTCACACGTAGTCACACCCGACCTCCACCGAACTCATTCGTCGGTGCCGAGTAGACCCAGTCGTTAGGCGCCGACTTGCCAAGTCCAAGGTCAATGAAGGCCATTGCTGTCGTAGGGCCCTCTAACAGGGGGGGGGGGGGGGGGGGGGGGGGGGGGTGGGGGGGTAGTGTAAGGAATTTTCTCGGCATTCCTTACGGAGCCCGACTACATCGCGTACAGCAACAGCCGTTGTTCACCCGTTACTGCTAACGGGGTTTCGCCGACTTCGCGCACACTGTTTTCACCAAACCTCGCACTGCAGGCATGGCCGTATCGGCCTACGTTCCGGGACTAGCCCAAGCCTCGCTCCAACGCAGCACTAGCTAGCTCGCACGCACCGCGTTACCGTTTGCATGTTTCGTGTAAAAATGTTCGCTCAGCCTTCGCTCACATTTGGTACTCGTTTGACACCTTAGTGCAATTCTCGCTACTTCGATTCATTGCATTCGTAACAGGACTCAACATGAATGATCAGTCTGTGGCTTCCAGGAATCTACACTTTGAATCGGTGAACGGATTTTTAATTGACTGTGCGGCCAAGCCGTCATCTGCGCGCCTTCTGTCGAGGCATACAGCGGCGCCGGCCACGGGCAGAAGCGAGAAGCCCACCTGCAGCAGCAGTTTCAATCATGAACAGTTTATAGCACCCCACAGGTTGCTTCAAGGCACTCAGTGATTGGATGAAAATGTTTTTTTCTTGTCGAGCCATCAGGTCAGGGGCGGGGTTGGATCTGGATGGGTGCGCAGGATAATGTCAGATGTTGCGGTTCGAGTGAGCCCAAACCGAAATGATGGCACGAATGCCACAAGCACCCGAGCCAAGGTGTACCAATGTCAACGTTCGTCTCGGCGATTTTTTTCACTCACACCAAAAGTGTAGGCTCGATGTGCCCCAACCTCTCGATCAAGGGCTGTATGTTTCGAGGGCTCAGGTTTGGAAAAGCCTTGGGCGTGAGGCTCTGAAGGAACCTGGGAGAGCTTGGTTGAGGTCTGCCAAAACCCGAACCAAACAAATAACTCGAGGAGGCAAGAATGTTTCTTAAGAGACGTTAGGCTGGCTGGAGGAGCAGGCAGTTAGCCCGTTGGGCACGAACGACCTTGCAGAAAGTAAATTCGCCCCAAACCTTTCTGAACCGATCTTGAAACTTCTGTAGGCTATCAGCCTTGCTTACAATCTCACACAACCGCACGAAAAACTTGACGAAACACTACGCGAGATGAACCCCACATCCCCTCAGCCCACACAAAAAACATCACTTCGTTGAGGGGTGGATGGTTCTAGCCTGTCCTAGTAGGCGACCCGCTTAGTAAACTAAAAATAACTCCACTCTTGCTCAAGCTGGAGTTTTTTTCTAAGAGGCTCACTACTTAGAAGGTCCGAGTTCTTCGTTCCAGTGACTGGATAGGACTGTCCCAGTTTTTCCGCGTCCCTGTCCCAGTTTTTCCGCGTCTTAGTCTCTCAGTTGTATTGGTTAACCTTTTTTCCCGGGTCGCTAGAGAGGACCACCACGAAGGATCCTACGATGATTGGACGAAGCGCATTACCACGTTCTTATCTGCCTGTACTCCGCGGTATTTCTAGCTAGAGCACCTCGTGATCTTCATCCGTACGCATCACCACTTACCCGACCAAAGGTGTTCCGCATTTGCCGCGAGTTTTTCCGAGACGGGCCATATTTTATCCTCCTGACGAGCCGTCAGAAAAATCACTACCATGGACCACATCGGGTCGTTGGCGAATCGAAAATCTCCGCGAAGGCGACGCAACATCATCTGCTCCGCTCATTTCGTCTTACTGGCCGCTACTGTTTTCAGTCTCGGAACACGCGAGACCGTCAAAGCTGCGACAGACCCAGCTCAAGGTGAATCCTCTCCGTGCTTTTAACGGGAATAGCGACAGACTACAGTCTGACATCCATGGCGTCCTTTCCACGATAGTCGGGTATTCCGGCCAAGAATCTCACAATCTCTCATGAGTCATGAGCACGCTGTTTAGTCGCGAATAGTCATCTGCGAACGTCGCTAAGGTCACCTTCGTCCTTGCGAGGATATGTAGCCCAGGCAAAGCTTCCCTCCCTTCTGTGTCGACTCAAAAGTCACCTCGTTTAGTCGAGAATGGTCATTTACAAGGTCACTTTCGTCCTTGCGACAATATGCAGCCAACGCGAAGAGTCTTTCCCGCCATGTCCTTTCCACCGCATTCCTTGCACGTATCCCTTCCACCGTGCCCTTTCCACGGGTCGCGTTCCGTCCATTTCGCGCCTGTGCGCGTCGCTCTTGGTGCTGCTAAGCCCTTTCTTGTTTGCAAACAAAGAGTGACCACGCGGTGGTTCTCACCACACGGATAACTTAGGCGGATGTAACCACCCTTATGATGGATGTAACCACCCTTCTGACGGATGTAACCACCCTTCTGACGGATGTAACCACCCTTCTGACGGATGTAACCACCCTTCTGACGGATGTAACCACCCTTCTGACGGATGTAACCACCCTTCTGATGGATGTAACCGCCCTTCTGACGGATGTAACCACCCTTTTGACGGATGTAACCACCCTTCTGACGGATGTAACCACCATTCTGACAGCCATTTGGCATCCTCGATTCCTTGCTGCCCACAAGTGCGTTCCTCCCTTCCAGTTGCCGTCCTTAGCACCATCCGACGGAGTTCGTACACTCCTCCGTTCTTTGAGTCGACTCAATCGCCTCGTTTCCTTCTTCCCGTCCCTCCTTCTCAGTCCCCGTCCTTCAAGGACGGAAAGTTTTAGCACCGTCACGGCTCCATCCCTCCTCTCCTCCATGTCTTGGGTCTACTCTAAGATTCCTTCGGTTCCTTCTGCGTTGCTCACTCCAAATGCCCGTCCTGAGACGAATCTAGAAATCTCTAACGAAACGGGTAAAACGGATAGACGCCCAGTTTTCCGTTCTTGAGGTCGGCCCGCTTGTTGGTTCTTCCTGAGCCACACCAACCTTCTCACTACACCCCCCCTCTCTTCGACACCCTCTCCCCCTCTCCCCGTCTTCCCCATCACCCTCGTCCCATCTTCCCATCCTCCCCTCTCCCCCTCTTCCCCTCCTCCCCTCTCCCTTTCGTCCCTTCTCACCTTCTCCTCGTCTCCCTTTCTCGCTCTCCCCCTCGTCCCCTTCCCAGTGGCCGCTCTTCACACCATAGCTTCGTCCCTCGCCTCCTCCAACCCCTTCTTCCACGCCTGGGCTGGGAACGACCCTTGCGCTGCTGCCCCCGCTGCTGCTGCTGCTGCTGCTGCTACTGCTGTCCCTGCTGCTGTCCCCGCTGCTGCCCCCTCTGCTGCTGCTGCTGCTTCCATGCCTTGAGGCGCCTCAAAAGCTCTTTTATCTTTCCCTCGCCTCCTCTCCCCATTTTCCCCCTCCCAGTGGCCGCTCTCCACACCATAGCATCGTCTCTCACCTCCTCCAACCCTTCTTCCACGCCTGGTGGAAACGACTCCTTCTACCCCTTGTAACCTGTCTCCCTCTCCTCCTCTCCCATCTCCTTCCCTTCCCAGTGGCCGCTCTTCACACCATAGCATCGACCCTCACCTCCTCCAACCCCTTCTTCCACGCCTGGTCTGGAAACGACCCTTGCGTCGCCGTTGCTCCTGGTGGTGGTGGTGGCGGTGGTGGTGGTGCTGCTGCTGGTCCCAGCAGCAAGGGCTGGCAGGGGGTTACCTGTGAGAGTGACGGTTCGGGCAACCATGTGGTTACAGCGCTGTGAGTGGTTACATCAGTATGAGTGGTTACATCAGTATGAGTGGTTACATCAGTATGAGTGGTTACATCTGTATGAGTGGTGACATTTCTGGTCATATCGCTGTCAGCCGCTCCAAGATTTCTTTCACCTCCTTGCCAAACTTCACAACATTCACCTCGTCCTTGCTGGTCCTCTCACCCCTCTCATCTTCCTCTCACCCCTCCCAAACCAACTGCCCCCATCCTCCTCTCCCCTCCATTTTCCACTCTGCTTTTGATTATATCCGTCTCCTACTTCGGTCCTATAAGCTGTACCTTCCCCCCGCCCCTCACCCTCCCACTCCCCTTTCCACTGCTCCTCTTCCGCTTCCCTTCTTCTCACACCCTCCCTCACTCCCCCGAATCTCTTCCCCCACTATTCGTGTTGGCAGGACACTGCAAGGGTTGGGACTTTCCGGGCAGCTTCCGCCAGCTCTCTTCGAGCTAACGGCACTCAAAAGCCTGTACGCCTTACAGTTCGGCTCGTTTACACTCCTTCTGACAGGCTTTTAGGCACAGCCTGTGGCCCGTTAGTAGTTTCTCAGAAGCTCGTACGCATTATAGACCGCCTCATTTATACCCCTTCTGACGGGCTTATAGGCACAGTATTTGAACCTCTGTACGTGCTTGTAATCGTACGCAAGATGCAGCTCTTTAGTTGAGCTATCCTGTAACCGCAGCAGAAGCCAACTCGGTCGGTACTGAGACGTCTCAAACTCTCTTTCGGTGCCCCTCCCGTCTCTCAGGGACATATCTCTCAACCCAGCTGTCACAGGCAGCATTTACAGCACCATCGGCTCATTTTTGAGTCGACTCAAAACCTCATTACACTCAACCCAGCCCTCACAGGCTGCATATACAGCACCATCAGCTCATTCTCCGACCTCTTAGGCGCCCGAGATGTCCCCTCGCCTCCTTCTCCCCTGCAATGTCTCCACCCACACCCGTTTTACCCTCTCTCCCCTCCCAGGGACATTTCTCTCAACCCAGCGCTCACAGGCAGCATATACAGCACCATCAGCGCTCTTTCAGAACTCTCCATGCTGTGAGTTGGCGTTCCCCTCTTGATCCAGGTACCCTCTTGATCTTGTTGCTCTAGCGTTTATTTCACATACTGCCGTTTAGCCTTTCTGCCATAAGCAAACGGCAACAGCAACATCATCTCCATGCTGTGAGTGATTTTACCCTGTAATAAATCGCTCGCTTTTGCCGCTCCCTTACACTGTTACTACCACCTCTCACTGCACCTTTCTCTACCGCACTTCACCGCACTTCAATGCGCTGTATCGGAAACACCAGGGACAAGCACGTACACAGACCGCCAATGCCCAACTCCCCTTCCCAATCCCACTTTCTCTTTTCTATATCCTCTTTTATCCCTCTCTACTGCAACCCACCGCACTGAATCTCATTCCACCAGGGACATGCACGGATGCAACCTGTCAGGATCCATACCTTCAACCATCAGCCTCTTAAGAAATCTCAACTTCTTTGCTGTCAACAGCAACCAGCTCTCTGGCAGCATCCCTAGACAGGTGCGTACCGTACTTCACCGCACTGCACCGCACTACACTACTCCCATCCCACCCCAGCCCTGCAACCATCGGCCTTGTGAGCAATCTCAACTTTTTTGCGGTCAACAGCAATCAACTCTCCAGCAGCATCCCTAGACAGGTACACACCGTATTGCACCGCACTGAACCACACCCATTTCTCAACTTCTTTGCTGTCAACAGCAATCAACTCTCCAGCAGCATTCTCAGACAGGTGAATACCTCACCTTAGTTGGAGTATACGCGTTTCGCGTTTTATACGCTAGCGTATAAACGCTAGCGTATAAACGCAGTACGCAGCTTTGGAGGGGACTAATACGCAGTGAAAACGCAGGGCCGGGCAGGGGTAAAAAAAGTTTCGGGCAGGTGAATTTTTTTGGGTTAAGATGTGGGGAAGGGGGTGGTGCAAGGCACCATCACCTCCCTTCCCCTTTTTATTATAGGGCAGGTTACATGCACACAACATTTTGCCTACATCACTAGACCCCCTACCCCACCTCCCTTTCCTTTCCCTTTTTCAGGAATCACTACACTTCATAGGCCCATCCCATCCCATCCCATACCACCCCCTCCCCACATGCATGTCTATGCATACTCATCCTCAAGAACCATGTCCTCTTCCTCCCCAACCTCCTCCTCCGCCCCATCCTCCTCCACCTTGTAGCCCTCGGGAAGGGGCGCCTCAGGAATGTTGCCCTTGACCACCCGCTGCCCCTCAGGGACCTTGTACCAATTGTGCACAACCTGCCAGTTGTGCACAACATATACGAGGTCCCTGCACTTCTCGGACCCGAGGCGGTTGCGCCTTGCCGTGTGGACCGCGTCCCACATGGACCAATTGCGCTCACAGGGCGACGCGGACACCGGCTGCGAAAGGTTGCGGATTGCGCACGTAGCAAGGTGGGGCGCATCTGTGCCGTGCCAATTCCACCACTGGACGGCCGTCATCTTCCCCGCCTTCACAGCCGCGCGGTCTTCCAAGGCGGTGGGCAGCCCGAAACTCCCCTGCAGGGTCAGGTACGCCGTCAGTTCCTCCTGCAGCACAAGAGAGGCTCGGCGCTCCTCGCCGTCGCTCGCGGTGATGGTGAGGTGGTCGTAGTGCTTGGCGATGTAGCCCTTCAGCACGCGCGTGCATTCGATGTCGTTTCTGAAGATGCCCTCCTCTTGGTTGACCGGATTCAAGATCCTGCCAACCACATGCAAGGGGCACGCCAAGCACTTATCCCACCTATCCTTCACGATGAGGCGGATCTCCTTAACCTCCGCCCTCGTCAGGTGACCCGCGGAGTGCTCCTCGAGGATTGCATCCACGTCCTCGGTGAGCTGCAGCATGGCGTCGTAGAGGCGCCCCATCATCCCCTTTGTCGCAGCATCCGTAGCCCGCATGACGGCGAATGGCTTCGCCATGAGCTTGGTGAAGAACTCGGCCTTCTTCCACCAAGCCTCGTCCATGATGTGCTCGCGGAAAGTGTCCGCGCTTTTACTCCTTGCCCCTGTTGCCCACTCCTTCCATTCATCGCTTAAAACCATCTGCACGAGGGCAGCACGGACTTCGACAAGGCGGGAAATAGCGATGAATTGCGTCCCAAAGCGAGTGCCCGCGGGTTTCAGGACCTGCTTGCCCTTCCCGCCCTTGACCTCGGAGCTTCGCAAATACCCCCGCGTGAAGTGGTGGTTGCGCGTGAAGGTGATGATCTCTCCCCCGCGGGTGACAAGGTTCTTCGCCCAATCCATCTTCCCCACGTCCTCCATCAACAGATCGAGGACGTGGGTAGCACAAGGTATGTACTCAATGTGGGGGTAATCCTCCATCAGCTCCCTGCACGCCGCCGCATAGTTCGAGCCGCCGTCCATGCAAAATGCCACCACATTTTCCGGTCCGACTTTCTTGAGAATGGGACGGAGAAGCCCCGCGATGTAACCTCCCGTTTTCGATTCCATCCGTGAGTCGATTGTCTCAGCGAAAACCGCGCCACTGTCGTTGATCAGAAGGACATTGGCTTGCGGACGGCCGTTACGATCAGTCATCATGTCGCTTGACACCGTTACGCCATCCCGCCGCCAGCTCGCCGCGATAGGAGCAAGCGCCGCCTCAATGCGCTTACGACATTTCTGGAGCCCGACGCCCCCGACGTAGCGACGCCTCGGTGCGAGGTAGCCTTCGCCCGCACGCGCAATGCAGGAGACCATGTTGTGCCAAACAGGGTGGTCCGCGTGGTGTTCGGGGAGGCGCAGAGCAGCGAACGCGAGGCAGATCGACTCGTCGGCATCGTTCTTCTTGCAGGCTGACGCGTCGCCGTAGAAATCGGTCATGCGAGACTTCTTCGCCTCGCGAGAAGCACCGGAAACTGCAGCAACGGCCGAGACTTCAGCCGCGCGCTTCTGGTCCCGGGTCCTGGACTTCGTCTCGTACTGTGACTTCACTCCATCCCGCGCGGTCTTGGGAGCTTCCTCGCAGAGGCGGATTTCACGACGCCGCATACCCTTCCAGCTGGTGATGTGCTGAGCAGCGCGGTACATACCGCCCGTGAACTTGTGGCGACAGTACATGCACACCTTGGTGGCGTGGTCGCTGTCGTCGCCGGGTTTCACAAGGAAATGCTTGTACACAGCATGGGTTCCGTGCATGATAACCAGACCGGCGCTGGTTTCCTCAACAGAACTAGCATTAGGAGCTGCAGTAGGGGTACTAGTACTGAGTGTTGCTGCAGGAGGGGTCGCCATACTGAAAGGCGAGCTAAAGAAGAGAGCTAAACTGAATAATGAAAGTCGAGTGGAAAGACACGACACGACATTTATGGTAGGAATGGTGGGTGGGTTGAGGGGGACTCACCTCAACATTGTATTTGAAGAGGTTGGAAGTGAACGGGGTACAAGGGGGTTTGCAATGGTAAAGGGTGGGTTTGGTGCGACTCGGTTTCAAATTTCGAATTCGGGGTTGCACTCGCGACGTGCGAAACCCCACACTTGAATCGCCATGTCGCTAAACGAAACTCAAATTTTGATTTTTTTTTCCCGGTCTGCCCGAGCGTTTTTCAGCGTTTCCGAACCAAAAACGCAGCGGTCGTTTTTTTAGCGCGTATAAACGCAATACGCAAAATGTTCAGAGCGTATACTCCATCTAAGTACCTCACTGCACCATCCGCTCCTTTCCTGCTGCTGCAGGTGGCGAATCTAACAGACCTCTGGACATCACTGACAACACTAATAACACTAACAACACTAACAACACTAACAGCACTAACAGCACTCAAGAAACAATTCTGCCTAACTGCATACTCCTTCGTCTCATCTTCTTCCCACACCCTCCTCCCCTACTCCTTCTTGCACAGGTGGCGAATCTAACCAACCTCTATTTCTTTGACATCACAGACAACAACATCTCAGGGCCTGTGCCCATCCAACCGGGATTCGACACGTGTACCAGCATGGGCCACCTGTGGGTACCCCCCCTTGCCTGGTCCCCTTTCCCTTGGTTGCTTCTCTTCTCGCCAAGACAACTAGAACCGTCTTGTCTTGTTGCTCACCTGCATAGCATCTGGTCCTGTTGTTGTCAGTTTTGAGGCGCCTCAAAACTCACGCCAGCATGCATGCATTGCCTCTGGTCCTGTTGTTGCTTCTAGCCGGCCATTCTTGTCCGCATCTCCTGGCCTCTCTGCAGGAGGGTCGTCAGGGCACACCAGTGAGGGTCGTCAGGGCACACCAGTGAGGGTCGTCAGGGCACACCAGTGAGGGTCGTCAGGGCACACCAGTGAGGGTCGTCAGGGCACACCAGTGAGGGTCGTCAGGGCACACCAGTGAGGGTCGTCAGGGCACACCAGTGAGGGTCGTCAGGGCACACCAGTGAGGGTCGTCAGGGCACACCAGTGAGGGTCGTCAGGGCACACCAGTGAGGGTCGTCAGGGCACACCAGTGAGGCCTTCGCTCGTCTCATCGTACCATCCGCGTGCAGTGAGGTGTATTTTGAGGCGCCTCACAATACACCTCACGGCCTTCGCTCGTCTCATCGTACCATCCGCGTGCAGTGAGGTGTATTTTGAGGCGCCTCACAATACACCTCACGGCCTTTGCTCGTCTCATCACACCATCCCTCCTTTTCCTTCCACCATCCACCCATTCCGCCCTTCTTTTTCGGTTTCTTCTTGCTCTTCCCCCCTGCCTGCCAGTCACCTGAGTCGCAACCAGCTAACATACGTTCCAGGGGAACTGGGACGCCTCCCAAACCTCATCCACCTGTAAGCCATCCCCCTTGTGGCTGCGCTCCCACGTGTAGAAAGAAGTTTTTTGAGACGTCTCATCCAAACCTCATCCACCTGTAAGCCATCCCCCTTGTGGCTGCGCTCCCAGCTGATATGCTCCCAGCTGATATGGGGTGACTTTTGAGTCGACTCAAAAGTCTCCATACATACACACAAACGCACATGCACGCACGCTTTCTTCAACTCACTCCCATTCTCATCTTCCGCCTCCTGCCCGTGTCTTGTCTGTCCATCCCTGCCCGTGTCTTGTCTGTCCATCCCTGCCCGTGTCTTGTCTGTCCATCCCTGCCCGTGTCTTGTCTGTCCATCCCTGCCCGTGTCTTGTCTGTCCATCCCTGCCCGTGTCTTGTCTGTCCATCCCTGCCCGTGTCTTGTCTGTCCATCCCTGCCCGTGTCTTGTCTGTCCATCCCTGCCCGTGTCTTGTCTGTCCATCCCTGCCCGTGTCTTGTCTGTCCATCCCTGCCCGTGTCTTGTCTGTCCATCCCTGCCCGTGTCTTGTCTGTCCATCCCTGCCCGTGTCTTGTCTGTCCATCCCTGCCCGTGTCTTGTCTGTCCATCCCTGCCCGTGTCTTGTCTGTCCATCCCTGCCCGTGTCTTGTCTGTCCATCCCTGCCCGTGTCTTGTCTGTCCATCCCTGCCCGTGTCTTGTCTGTCCATCCCTGCCCGTGTCTTGTCTGTCCATCCCTGCCCGTGTCTTGTCTGTCCATCCCTGCCCGTGTCTTGTCTGTCCATCCCTGCCCGTGTCTTGTCTGTCCATCCCTGCCCGTGTCTTGTCTGTCCATCCCTGCCCGTGTCTTGTCTGTCCATCCCTGCCCGTGTCTTGTCTGTCCATCCCTGCCCCCTCCTCCTCCCACCACCCTCGTCGACATCAGCCACCTCCTATATTCCACCTCAACCAGACCTTTCCTGTAGGGCTCGATTCCATTCAGGTCCATTTTATTTTTACCCCTGCCTGCTTACCCCCCCCCCCCCCTTCTCCTCACCCGCTCACCCCGTTCCCCGTCACTCTTCCCCTTCATTCTTCCCCTTCACCCCCCAGCCTGGTGGACAACAACCGTCTCAACCAGACCTCCTCAGTGGGACTCAGTGGCTCCAGCAGCCTCTTGAATCGACTCAAGAGTCACCCTCTCCCTTCCTCCTTCCTCTCACCCCCCTCTCCCTCCCCCCCTCCCACCCACCAGCCTGGTGGACAACAACCGTCTCAACCACCAGCAGGGCTCAGTGGCTCTACCAGCCTCGTGAATTGACTCAAAGGCATCCCCTCCCTCTCTTCCTCTTCTCCCTCTCTCTCCCCTCCCACCAGCCTGGTGGACAACAACCGTCTCAACCAGACCTTTCCAGCGGGACTCAGTGGCTCCACCAGCCTCCAGATCATGTGAGCATCGACTGGGAGAGCATTGCGGTGAGTCAGAATCAAAGTGAATCAGAATCAAAGTGAATCAGAATCAAAGTGAATCAGAATCAAAGCAAGTCAGAATCAAAGCAAAGTCAGAATCAAAGCAAGTCAGAATCAAAGTGAATCAGAATCAAAGCAAGTCAGAATCAAAGCAAGTCAGAATCAAAGTGAATCAGAATCAAATCAAGTCAGAATCAAAGCAAGTCAGAATCAAAGCGAATCAGAATCAAAGCAAGTCAGAATCAAGGCGAGTCAGAATCAAAGTGAATCAGAATCAGTGTGAATCAGAATCAGTGTGAATCAGAATCAGTGTGAATCAGAATCAGTGTGAATCAGAATCAGTGTGAATCAGAATCAGTGTGAATCAGAATCAGTGTGAATCAGAATCAGTGTGAATCAGAATCAGTGTGAATCAGAATCAGTGTGAATCAGAATCAGTGTGAATCAGAATCAGTGTGAATCAGAATCAGTGTGAATCAGAATCAGTGTGAATCAGAATCAGTGTGAATCAGAATCAGTGTGAATCAGAATCAGTGTGAATCAGAATCAGTGTGAATCAGAATCAGTGTGAATCAGAATCAGCGTGAATCAGAATCAGTGTGAATCAGAATCAGTGTGAATCAGAATCAGTGTGAATCAGAATCAGTGTGAATCAGACCCTTCCTTTGCTCTGAGGATCAGTAGGAGGAGTTTGAGAAACGTATTTACAGCGGGACTCAGTGGCTCCACCAGCCTCCAGATCATGTGAGCGGGCGAAGGCGGAGGAGCACACTGTATCAGTCGACACACATATGGGAAAGAAACGATTTCATTAACGCCTTTATAATTGTTCTATCGGTCAGGAATCTGGTGAGAATGCTGTTAGTGTCATGTAGGCAGTGCCCACGAAGTCACTTCGTCATGTAGGCAGTGCCCACGAAGTCACTTTTGAGTCGACTCAAAAGTCACTTCGTCATGTAGGCAGTGCAGTGCCCTGCCCACGTGAGAAAGGCAGGTAGTGCTCCCTCCTATGGCAAACCGCTGTGGTCCTGTTTGGTTCTAACAATATTTACTCGTTGTATGTCCTCCTTTCCCCCTCTCGTCCTCCAATCACTGTGTGCCACGTGGCAGCCATCTGAGCAACAACACCATTCAGGGCTGGCTTCCACCTTCTCTCAGCCTCCCAGCACTGCAAGACCTGTGAGTGGTGCTCCAATCACTACATGCCACGTGTCCTACTTCTACCTCCCAGCACTGCAAGACCTGTGAGTGCTCCAATCACAAAGCGCCAAGTGTCCGCTCCTCAACCTCCCACCACCACCACCACCCCACCAACCCCCCCCTCCTCCGCTCCTCCATGCATGCGAGCTCGACCATGCACAAACAACTGCTTCTTGAAACGCCTCAAAACCTCTTCACCATTGTCCCACCCCCTTTTCCATACCTCCCCCTTCCATGCACACACGCAGCTCAATGCACAACTACTCCATGGGCCCCCCAGCCACTGCCTTCCCAAATTCAGCAGCCACGCGCCCCCTTTCCCTCCCCGCATCCCTTCCCCCCCTCCCCTTTCCTCACCTCCCCTCCATGCAATCACGCAGGTCGATGCACAATTGCTCCATGCAGCCCCAACCACTGCCGCCTTTGACAGGCCTCCCATCACTCTGCTACCTGTACGCTACTGCTCAACCTCTCCACTTCATCCTCTGATATCTATGAGTCTATAAGCCCTTGTTTCTCTGACAGCCATTTACTCGCCCCCCTCTGCCTCCTGCCCTTTCTCCTCTTTCCTCTTCCTTCAACTCTTCTAAGCGATTCGAGGCACACCATCTTTCATATTCCTTTCTTTCATCCCCCTCTGCCTCTTACCCTCTTTCGTCTCCCTCCTCCACCCTCTCCTTTCACCAGTTTGACTCACAACAACATCCATGCACGCTCCGCTCCTACCTTTTCCCACCTTGTTCTCCCCCTTTTTGCCACCGAGCTTTGAGGTTCCTCTGAGCTTGTCACCATGTTCTGCTCTTTGCTCCCAATGTCAAACCCTCCATCTCCCTTGAACCCCTTCCGCGATTTGAGTTGCCAACACCTTTTATAGCTCCCTATCCCTTGCCCTCTTCAACACTCATTCAACCCCCCCCCCCCCACCCCACCCCCACCTTTTCCCCCCTCCCCGCACGTTTTCCCCCCTCCCCCCACGTTTTCCCCCCTCCCCCCACGTTTTCCCCCCTCCCCGCACGTTTCCCCCCCTCCCCCCACCTTTTCCCTCCTCCTCTCGCCTTCCGCCCCCTCTACTGCCTAACCTCCCCTCACACCGCTTTGAGTCGCAACAGACAAACCTCCAAAGCCCGCTGCCCCGTGCCCTCTCAGCAATCATTTCCACCCCCCCTTGCATTCCCTCCTCCTCCCTCCCCACTTGCTGTCTTGCCACTTTCAGCGATTTGAGTCGCAACAACTTTCAAGGACCCCTGCCGCTTGCTCTCTTCACCACACACCCTGACCTGGTAACCCTGTGAGTGCACCACTGTGCATTGCACCACGTCTTAGTGTGTTTTGAGTCGACTCAAAACACGCCTGGTAACCCTGTGAGTCGACTCAAAACACACCTGGTAACCCTGTGAGTCGACTCAAAACACACCTGGTAACCCTGTGAGTCGACTCAAAACACACCTGGTAACCCTGTGAGTCGACTCAAAACACACCTGGTAACCCTGTGAGTCGACTCAAAACACACCTGGTAACCCTGTGAGTCGACTCAAAACACACCTGGTAACCCTGTGAGTCGACTCAAAACACACCTGGTAACCCTGTGAGTCGACTCAAAACACACCTGGTAACCCTGTGAGTCGACTCAAAACACACCTGGTAACCCTGTGAGTCGACTCAAAACACACCTGGTAACCCTGTGAGTCGACTCAAAACACACCTGGTAACCCTGTGAGTCGACTCAAAACACACCTGGTAACCCTGTGAGTCGACTCAAAACACACCTGGTAACCCTGTGAGTGCACCACTGTGTATTGCACCACGTCTGTCCCCGTTTGCCTGCCTTAGCGCCATGCTCTCTCTCTCACCATGCCAGCACGCTCCAAGCCTCTGCAATGCTCCACATGTCAACATGGTTTCTGAGAATTCTCAAAAACCAGCCTCTGCAATGCTCCACATGTCAACACATCCCTATCCCGTATGTCTCAAAACTTGTTTGCCTGCCTTAGCTCTCTCTCACCATGCCAGCATGCTCCAAGCCTCTGCAATGCCGCACATGTCAACACATCCCCATCACCCCACGTCCTCCCCGCCCTCCCCTCCCTTCCCTCCCCTCCCCGCATGCACCTCTTGTGCGCATCGCAGCAATCTCGCCCTCAACCATCTCAACGGCAACCTCCCTCTCCTCCCCTCCCTCCCCTACCCTCCCCTTCCCTTTCCGCCCCTCTTCTCCCTCTCCTCCCCTCCCCTACCCTCCCCTTCCCTTTCAACCCCTCTTCTCCCTCTCCTCCACTCCCCTACCTTCCCCTTCCCTTTCCACCCCTCTTCTCCCTCTCCTCCCCTCCCCTACCCTCCCCTTCCCTTTCCACCCCTCTTCTCCCTCCCCTCCAATCGTGCATGCCTCGCAGCAATCTCGCATTGAACCATCTCAACGGCACCCTCCCTCCCGGGCTGCCCTCAGCCAACCTCACACGCCTGCACTCCATGTGAGTGAGACTCGCTCTGTCATGAGAGTGTCGTGAGTGAGACTCGCTCTGTCATGAGAGTGTCATGAGTGAGACTCGCTCTGTCATGAGAGTGTCGTGAGTGAGACTCGCTCTGTCATGAGAGTGTCATGAGTGAGACTCGCTCTGTCATGAGAGTGTCATGAGTGAGACTCGCTCTGTCATGAGAGTGTCATGAGTGAGACTCGCTCTGTCATGAGAGTGTCATGAGTGAGACTCGCTCTGTCATGAGAGTGTCATGAGTGAGACTCGCTCTGTCATGAGAGTGTCATGAGTGAGACTCGCTCTGTCATGAGAGTGTCATGAGTGAGACTCGCTCTGTCATGAGAGTGTCGTGAGTGAGACTCGCTCTGTCATGAGAGTGTCGTGAGTGAGACTCGCTCTGTCATGAGAGTGTCGTGAGTGAGACTCGCTCCGTCATGAGAGTGTCATGAGTGAGACTCGCTCTGTCATGAGAGTGTCGTGAGTGAGACTCGCTCTGTCATGAGAGTGTCGTGAGTGAGACTCGCTCTGTCATGAGAGTGTCGTGAGTGAGACTCGCTCTGTCATGAGAGTGTTGTGAGTGAGACTCGCTCTGTCATGAGAGTGTCGTGAGTGAGACTCGCTCTGTCATGAGAGTGTCCTGAGTGAGACTCGCTCTGTCATGAGAGTGTCATGAGTGAGACTCGCTCTGTCATGAGAGTGTCGTGAGTGAGACTCGCTCTGTCATGAGAGTGTCATGAGTGAGACTCGCTCTGTCATGAGAGTGTCATGAGTGAGACTCGCTCTGTCATGAGAGTGTCATGAGTGAGACTCGCTCTGTCATGAGAGTGTCATGAGTGAGACTCGCTCTGTCATGAGAGTGTCGTGAGTGAGACTCGCTCTGTCATGAGAGTGTCATGAGTGAGACTCGCTCTGTCATGAGAGTGTCATGAGTGAGACTCGCTCTGTCATGAGAGTGTCATGAGTGAGACTCGCTCTGTCATGAGAGTGTCATGAGTGAGACTCGCTCTGTCATGAGAGTGTCATGAGTGAGACTCGCTCTGTCATGAGAGTGTCATGAGTGAGACTCGCTCTGTCATGAGAGTGTCGTGAGTGAGACTCGCTCTGTCATGAGAGTGTCATGAGTGAGACTCGCTCTGTCATGAGAGTGTCATGAGTGAGACTCGCTCTGTCATGAGAGTGTCGTGAGTGAGACTCGCTCTGTCATGAGAGTGTCGTGAGTGAGACTCGCTCCGTCATGAGAGTGTCATGAGTGAGACTCGCTCTGTCATGAGAGTGTCGTGAGTGAGACTCGCTCTGTCATGAGAGTGTCGTGAGTGAGACTCGCTCTGTCATGAGAGTGTCGTGAGTGAGACTCGCTCTGTCATGAGAGTGTTGTGAGTGAGACTCGCTCTGTCATGAGAGTGTCGTGAGTGAGACTCGCTCTGTCATGAGAGTGTCCTGAGTGAGACTCGCTCTGTCATGAGAGTGTCATGAGTGAGACTCGCTCTGTCATGAGAGTGTCGTGAGTGAGACTCGCTCTGTCATGAGAGTGTCATGAGTGAGACTCGCTCTGTCATGAGAGTGTCATGAGCGAGACTCGCTCTGTCATGAGAGTGTCATGAGTGAGACTCGCTCTGTCATGAGAGTGTCATGAGTGAGACTCGCTCTGTCATGAGAGTGTCATGAGTGAGACTCGCTCTGTCATGAGAGTGTCATGAGTGAGACTCGCTCTGTCATGAGAGTGTCGTGAGTGAGACTCGCTCTGTCATGAGAGTGTCATGAGTGAGACTCGCTCTGTCATGAGAGTGTCATGAGTGAGACTCGCTCTGTCATGAGAGTGTCGTGAGTGAGACTCGCTCTGTCATGAGAGTGTCATGAGTGAGACTCGCTCTGTCATGAGAGTGTCGTGAGTGAGACTCGCTCTGTCATGAGAGTGTCATGAGTGAGACTCGCTCTGTCATGAGAGTGTCGTGAGTGAGACTCGCTCTGTCATGAGAGTGTCGTGAGTGAGACTCGCTCTGTCATGAGAGTGTCGTGAGTGAGACTCGCTCTGTCATGAGAGTGTCATGAGTGAGACTCGCTCTGTCATGAGAGTGTCGTGAGTGAGACTCGCTCTGTCATGAGAGTGTCGTGAGTGAGACTCGCTCTGTCATACACCACTCACATGTTCAGCAATCCTACAAAGAACCATCTCAGCACCAACCCACCCTCCCCTCCACCCTTTCCCCCACCCACCGGCATCAGCCAACCTCACACAACTCCACTCCATGTGAGACCCCCTTTCTCTCATACGCCACTCCCATGCTCGGTTATCTGCTGTCGTCTTTTCTGCTGCACCTCTCCTGCTACCCCGTTTCCTGCTGCTCAATCCCCTTGTACTCCCGTTCCTACCTTATCCCTCCCTTCTCTTCGTTCACCCAGTATGCTATCAGACAACAACCTCACGTCACGGGTCCTGTGCCTCCTCTAGACGCGCTTTCCTCTCAATCCCTCTCAAAACCTCCCCGCTCCCCTTGCCTCCCCTCCCAGTATGCTATCAGACAACAACCTCACCTCACGGGACCCTGTGCCTCCTCTAGACATGCTCCCTGTCCTGCTTCCCTCTCTCACCCCCTCTCCTTTCCCCACTTCTCCTTCTCTCCCATCCCAGTATCCTATCAGACAACAAACTAACAGGCCCTGTGCCTCCTCTAGACGCTCTCCCAGCCATCGCCACCATCTCATCTCCCTCTTTGATAACCACTTCACCCGCGCACCTGCTGCCCCCCCCCCCCCTGCTGCTCCCTCTCCACTGCTCCCCTTCCTGCTCTGCTCTATCCTGTTGCTGTCTTCCCCCCATCCTCCCCCCCCCTCAACCCATCCCAGTATCCTATCAGACAACAAACTAACCGGCCCCGTGCCTCCTCTAGACGCCCTCCCTGTCATCGCCACCATCTCCCTCTTTGATAACCACTTCACCCGCGCGCCTGCTGCTCTGCTCAGCAACGAGAACGTCACACTGCAGTGAGTTTTGACACAAACCCGCAGGTTCTCACCTTTTCATTCACGCCAGCACCTGCTCCCTCAGTTGCTCCCTCAGTTGCTCCCTCTATGTGAACCACTTAACCCGCGCCCCTGCTGCTCTGCTGAGCAACGAAAACGTCACTCTGCAGTGAGTTATCCTCTCTGACTGCTGTCGCACTCACTTGGTCACTCACTCACTCGCTCACTCACTTGCTCGCCTACTCTCTCACTTGCTGGCTCGCTCACTCACTTGGTCACCTGTGTGTCTCCCTTTCTCTTTCCACCCCTATTTCTCCAGGCTATACAGCAACGACCTCTGTGTGCCGTACCGCCCTCAGGTCACCACAGCCTGCTCGCCCCCTCTCGGCATCATGCAGTATCAGCCCCCTCCCATCTGTGACGACATCTCCCATCCTTCCTTCCTTGTGCTGCATCCCTTTGTTCCAATCCCCCTTGTTGCATTCACCCCCATCCCTCCAGGCTATACGGCAACGACCTCTGTGTGCCCTACCGCCCTGCAGTCACTGCAGCCTGCTCGCCTCCACTCGGCTTCATGCAGTATCAGCCCCCTCCCATTTGCGACGACCTCGCCTGCCCCTCTCTCTACGCGCCCAGCCCGCCCCTGCTCGCGCTGACCAACGTGTGTGTGTGTGCTTCGCCGCTGGAGGTGGAATTGAAGCTGACTGCGCCGCAGTATGCGGTGTTTAATGATGAGCTCGCGAGTCTGCTTGTAGAGAGGATCGCGGGGAGCTTGGGGAAGAATGGGATCGGCATTTCGACAGGGCAGGTGGGTCTGGTCTGGTGGGTGGTGGGTTTTGTAGCAAGCGGATATCGTGATAGGCCGGTTTTGTGATAGGTGGGGACAGGTGTGTCTCGCCGCTGGAGGTGCAGCTGAAGCTCACTGCGCCGCAGTACGCGGTATTTCATGACGACCTCGCTGCTTGTAGAGAGGATAGCGGAGAGTCTGGGCAAGAATGGTATCGGCATTTCGACGGGGCAGGTGGGTCTGGGGGGAACTGGTGGGTGTGGTGGGGACAGGGCAGGTGGGTATGGTGGAGCAGGCACCAGGTCTATCCTCTCTCCTTCCACCATCAGCACCTCCATCCGCTTCTTTCCCCATTCCCCCGAGCCCCCTTCCCCATTCCCCCGAGCCCCCTTCCCCATTCCCCCGAGCCCCCTTCCCCATTCCCCCGAGCCCCCTTCCCCATTCCCCCGAGCCCCCTTCCCCATTCCCCCGAGCCCCCTTCCCCATTCCCCCGAGCCCCCTTTCCCATTCCCCCGAGCCCCCTTTCCCCGTTCTGTCTCCCAGTCTCTCTCCCTCCCAGTCTCTCTCCCTCCCAGTCTCTCTCCCTCCCAACTTGTTCCCACCCTCGTGCCCTCACACCAACAGATCGCCATCGTGTCGGTTACCAGGCCTATACTCTCCCCTTCCACCTTCCTCTGTTCCCTTTCTCCTATGTTCCCCTCTCTTCGTTTGCTTCCTCCCCCCTCGTTCAACAGATCGCCATAGTGTCAGTCACCGGGTCTATCCTCTCTCCTTCCACCATCAGCACCTCCATCCGCTTTTTCCCCCCTCCCTCCTCCTCCTCCTCTGCTGTTACCACCACCCCTGCCACCACCACCACCAGCAGCAGCTACAGCAGCAGCAGCTACAGCAGCAACAGCTACAGCAGCAACAGCTACAGCAGCAACAGCAGCAGCACGGCCACCACCACCCCTGCTAGCAGCAGCAGTGCGAGCAGCGCTGAGTGGCAGCAGGCGCAGGAGATAAGGGAGGCGTTTGTGTGGCACAAGGTGCTGCTGGGAACGGACTTTGGGCCTTACACTGTGGAGGCCATGTATGGGCCAGGTGAGACCTGGGGGAGGCATGCATGGGGCAGGTGAGACCTGGGGGAGGCATGCACGGGGAAGGTGTGACCGTGAGTCTTTTATCTGGCAGATAAGGGAGGCGTTCGTGTGGCACAAGGTGCTGCTGGGGACGGACTTTCGGCCTCACATTGTGGAGGCCATGTATGGGCCAGGTGAGACCTGGGGGAGATGTGTATGGGCCAGGTGAGACCTGGGGGAGATGCGTATGGAGCAGGTGAGACCTGGGGGAGGTGTGTATGGGCCAGGTGAGACCTGGGGGTAGGGATGAGCAAGGTGGCGAACCGAACAGGTTTTGTTTTTTAGCTCAAATCGTTCGCCGAACAGTGTTCGATGTTCGCCCGAACACGTTCGTGTTCGGGCCGCTGCTGAAATTTGCCCGCGACGAACACGAACAGTGTTCGAGGTTCGCCCGAACACGCCTCCACAGGCGAACAGCGAACACCTGTTTTTTCCTAAACTGTTCGCCGAACCAAACACTGTTCGGTTCGGCAAAAGAGGGTGTTCGACAAGGGGCGAAGACGAACATGTTCGTGTTCGCCCTTTGCTCATCCCTACCTGGGGGAGATGTGTATGGGGCAGGTGAGCGAGGAAGCAGTAGGCCACTTCACCAGGTGGGCCTTATATCGTGGATGCCATGTACAGGCCAGGTGAGAACCAGGGGAGGTATGGGTGGGGCCTGTGAGTAGGAGTAGAGGGCCTGACCTCTGTGAGTAGGAGTAGAGGGCCTGACCACTGTGAGTAGGAGTAGAGGGCCTGACCACTGTGAGTAGGAGTAGAGGGCCTGACCACTGTGAGTAGGAGTAGAGGGCCTGACCACTGTGAGTAGGAGTAGAGGGCCTGACCACTGTGAGTAGGAGTAGAGGGCCTGACCACTGTGAGTAGGAGTAGAGGGCCTGACCACTGTGAGTAGGAGTAGAGGGCCTGACCACTGTGAGTAGGAGTAGAGGGCCTGACCACTGTGAGTAGGAGTAGAGGGCCTGACCACTGTGAGTAGGAGTAGAGGGCCTGACCACTGTGAGTAGGAGTAGAGGGCCTGACCACTGTGAGTAGGAGTAGAGGGCCTGACCACTGTGAGTAGGAGTAGAGGGCCTGACCACTGTGAGTAGGAGTAGAGGGCCTGACCACTGTGAGTAGGAGTAGAGGGCCTGACCACTGTGAGTAGGAGTAGAGGGCCTGACCACTGTGAGTAGGAGTAGAGGGCCTGACCACTGTGAGTAGGAGTAGAGGGCCTGACCACTGTGAGTAGGAGTAGAGGGCCTGACCACTGTGAGTAGGAGTAGAGGGCCTGACCACTGTGAGTAGGAGTAGAGGGCCTGACCACTGCTGCGATCGTGAATATCATGGGGTGGGGAGGGAGTGGTCGGCCTAGCTCTCATCTCATTTTTCCGCCCTCTCACACCCCTTTTAGTATGCTCCTTTGGTATGCACTCTCTCTCACACATTTCCCTTGCATGTGTGCCGGGGCGTCTACTGGGGCCGGGGGAATGACCACTGCTGCGATTGTGGCCATTGTGGTGGGGGGAGTGGTGCTACTCGCTCTCATTGCTCTGCTCTCTCTCACGCCTGCTCCTCCTCCTAAGCACTCTCGACCCTCCATTCCCCTTCCACCCATCCCCAACCGTCTCCTCCCATCTCCCCCCCTGCCTCAACCCCCCATCCCCCAACTCTCCTGTCTTTCCCCCCTGCTGCATCTACTGGGGGAGGGGGCATGAATACTGCTGCGATTGTGGGCATCGTGGTGGGGGGAGTGGCGGCCCTCGCTCTCATTATTCCTTTTTCTCTCACGTATTTTCTCTCTTCTCCCCGTTCCCCCTTCCACCTGTCTCTCCCCCATCCACCTCCCAGCTCCCTGTGGCGCCTACTGGGGGAGGGGGCATGACCACTGCTGCAATTGTGGGCATCAGCGGTGGAGGGAGTGGTGTCGCTTGCTCTCATCGCTCTGCCCTCTCACCTCTTTGGATCCTCTGACTTCTCCTCTCCCCCGTCCCCCCCCCCCCCCCCCCCCCCCCCCCCCCCCCCCCCCCCCGCTCGCACCCCCAGCTCCCCCACCCGCCCCCCCTGTGGCGCCTACTGGGGGAGGGGGCATGACCACTGCTGCAATTGTGGGCATTGTGGTGGGGGGAGTGGTGGCCGTCGCTCTCATTACTCTGCTGATCGTGTGGCTGGTGCTGCTAAGGAACCGAAACAAAGGTGAGACCAGTGGAGCCTACTTGTTCTCATGCCTTTGCCCTCTCGTGTTGCTGGTGCCCTCTGCTCTCTTCCTCTCTCGTGTTGCTGGTGCCCTCTGTTCTCTTCCTCTCTCGTGTTGCTGGTGCCCTCTGTTCTCTTCCTCTCTCGTGTTGCTGGTGCCCTCTGTTCTCTTCCTCTCTCGTGTTGCTGGTGCCCTCTGTTCTCTTCCTCTCTCGTGTTGCTGGTGCCCTCTGTTCTCTTCCTCTCTCGTGTTGCTGGTGCCCTCTGTTCTCTTCCTCTCTCGTGTTGCTGGTGCCCTCTGTTCTCTTCCTCTCTCGTGTTGCTGGTGCCCTCTGTTCTCTTCCTCTCTCGTGTTGCTGGTGCCCTCTGTTCTCTTCCTCTCTCGTGTTGCTGGTGCCCTCTGTTCTCTTCCTCTCTCGTGTTGCTGGTGCCCTCTGTTCTCTTCCTCTCTCGTGTTGCTGGTGCCCTCTGTTCTCTTCCTCTCTCGTGTTGCTGGTGCCCTCTGTTCTCTTCCTCTCTCGTGTTGCTGGTGCCCTCTGTTCTCTTCCTCTCTCGTGTTGCTGGTGCCCTCTGTTCTCTTCCTCTCTCGTGTTGCTGGTGCCCTCTGTTCTCTTCCTCTCTCGTGTTGCTGGTGCCCTCTGTTCTCTTCCTCTCTCGTGTTGCTGGTGCCCTCTGTTCTCTTCCTCTCTCGTGTTGCTGGTGCCCTCTGTTCTCTTCCTCTCTTGTGTTGCTGGTGCCCTCTGTTCTCTTCCTCTCTCGTGTTGCTGGTGCCCTCTGTTCTCTTCCTCTCTCGTGTTGCTGGTGCCCTCTGTTCTCTTCCTCTCTCGTGTTGCTGGTGCCCTCTGTTCTCTTCCTCTCTCGTGTTGCTGGTGCCCTCTGTTCTCTTCCTCTCTCGCAAGTCCGGTCGTGCTGTCCTGTGAAACAACACAGTACCAACTCCGGCATAGCCGGATTCTTGATGACTTTTGAGTCGACTCAAAAGTCACCTCGTATAGCCGGATTTTGAGAAGTATGTGCTCTCTGCCCCGCATCCCCCACTCATCCGCATACCCGCCAACATCAGACCTGTGGAGCTCAGAGGACTACAAGGCAATAGAGGGGCTGCAGGCGCTGGGCGTGCACCGGTGCAGCTCAGTCTGAGGCAATATGTGCTCTCCACCCATCCCCACCCATCTTCACCGCTCCCCATCCCTCCCCATCCCTTCCCACCCCTCTCCATCCCCCTCCACCGCTTCCCACCTCGGTATTTTCCTGAAACATCAGACCTGTGGAGTTCAGAGGACTACAAGGCAATAGAGGGGCTGCAGGCGCTGGGCATGCACCGGTGCAAGCTGAAGGAGATAGCCGATGCCACCCAGGGGTTCAAGACGCTGCTGGGGGAGGGCGGATACGGACAGGTATATCTGTGAGGGGGAAGGGGGGGGGGTGTGGGGCGGGTAGGTATATGTGTGAAGGGCAGCACATATAGGAAGGTGCAGACAGGTGCAAGGTCAAGCAGATTGCAGACGCCACCAGGGGTTCAAGTCACTTGGAGCTCCAGGTTGGAGCCCCAGGTTGGAGCTCCAGGTTGGAGCCCCAGGTTGGAGCCCCAGGTTGGAGCCCCAGGTTGGAGCCCCAGGTTGGAGCCCCAGGTTGGAGCCCCAGGTTGGAGCCCCAGGTTGGAGCCATATCTTTACATTGTAACGAGTTGACTTTTGAGTCGACTCAAAGGTCAAGGAGATTGCAGACGCCACCAGGGGTTCAAGTCACTGCTGGGGGAGGGCGGATACGGATAGGTGTGATCTGGGGCGGGTTCACTGTGGGGAAAACGCGAAGGTACGGAATGCAGACAGGTGCAAGGTCTTGAACCCATCCAGGGTTCAAGACTCCACTGGGGGAGGGCGGATATGGACAGGTGTGATGTGGGGTGGGTGTATTTTTTAGGGAGGTATACAGGTGGAGAGAGGGCGCAGATCGCGCATATGGGGCAGGCGCATATGGGGCAGGTGCGTATGGGGCAGGTGCGTATGGGGCAGGTGCGTATGGGGCAGGTGCGTATGGTGCAGGTGCATATGGGGCAGGTGCATATGGGGCAGGTGCATATGGGGCAGGTGCATCTATGAGAGGACGGATATGGGGCAGGTGCATCTATGACGTGACGGATATGGGGCAGGTGCATCTATGAGGGGACGGATATGGGGCAGGTGCATCTTTGAGGGGACGGATATGGGGCAGGTGCATCTTTGAGGGGACGGATATGGGGCAGGTGCATCTTTGAGGGGATGGCGCATGCGAGGCAGGTGCATCTGTGAGGGGACGGATATGGGGCAGGTGCATCTTTGAGGGGACGGATATGGGGCAGGTGCAACTTTGAGGGGATGGCGCATGCGAGGCAGGTGCATCTGTGAGGGGACAGATATGGTAACGCATTTCCTTGCTCCCTGGTGTACCAGGAAGTGCTTGTCTCAGGGGGCGTGGCACAGCAATCTCACGCCTTGTCCTCCTCTCTCGTTCGTACCTTCTCCCCACGCCCTGCTTATCTGCTTCCCATGCCTTTCCTACCTCCTCCCCGTGTCTGAACCACTATGGAAGAGTGCTGGAAATAGGGAGAGCAGCACACCATTGCCATGCCTTTCACCTCCTCTCGCATTGAGGTCGTTTTTGCGGCGCCTCAAAAACGTCCTTTCACCTCCTCTCTCGTGCCTTCTTCCCATGCCTTGCCTATCTCCTCCCTGTGCCGGAACCACTCTCAGGTGTACCGGGGAGTGCTGGTAACAGGAGAGGTGGTGGCAGTGAAACGAGCCAAGGGCCATGTGAAGGTGCGCCACAAACACGCTCAGGTGGTTCTCAGGTGAACCTTCAGGTGGATCTACAGGTGGACATTCAGGTCGGAACACATGTTTGTATCAGTCTTTATGAGAGCCAATGTATGTTTGTAAAGCAACATGCGATTGCGGGTATGTCAAAACCAGGCCACTCATTCAATGCTGACACGCTGCTCGCTCATCTTCTTTTGAGGCGCCTCAAAAGTCAATGCTGACACGCTAGTCGCTCATCTTCTTGAGTCTCCAGCTGGGAAACGTAGCTGCAGGTCCAATGGAGCCCCAGACAGGCGCCTCAAAAGTCAAGTCTCCAGCTGGGAAACGTAGCTGCAGGTGAGCTGGGTTGGCTAGTTGAAAGCCTTCTGTGTCTCACCGCCTCTCCCCCCAAACCTTCACTCCCACCTCCCCCACTCCCACTCCCCCACTTTCCCTACCCCCCCCCCCCCTTTTTTTTTTGCCCCACCCACCACAGTTATGTGGCTCGGAGTTGTGGAATGGGATTCAGCTGTTGCCAGCGGTGCACCACCGCAACTTGGTTGCCCTCAAGGGGTTGTGTGTCTCTCCAACCAACTGTCGATCCCACAGCTCCCTCCCTATGCACACCCCACCCACCAGCTCTTTTCTTCCCACACATCCCCCCTCCTTGCACATCCCCCACCCACCACAGTTATGTGGCATGGATGGAGTTGTGAAATGGGATCCAGCTGCTGTCAGTGGTGCACCACCGCAACCTCGCGGCACTCAACGGTGGCATTCACCGTCTAGTTTTGAGTCGACTCGAAACTTTCTGTGCCTCTCCAACCCACCGTCTCTCCCCTACTCCCCCACTCATCCACTCTCCCACTCCCCTCCCTAAAAATGCCACCGCAACCTGGTTGCGCTCAACTCAAGGGCTTCTCTGCCTCTCCCACTCACCATCTCTCCTCGACTCCCACTCCCTCACTCCCCCACCAGCTGGGTGGCACGGAGTTTCGCAACGAGATCCAGCTGCTGTCAGCAGTACGCCATCGCAACCTGGTGGCACTGAAAGGCTTCTGTGTGGAGGCGGGCGAGCAGCTGCTGGTGTATGAATTCATAGAGAGGGGGACGTTGGAAGATATGCTGAGAGGTGAGTGGGGAGCAGGTGCAAGAAGATGGGGGGTGGGTGGGGAGACTAGTGCACCCACTAGCTTCTGTGTGGGGGCGGGCGAGCAGCTGCTGGTGTATGAATTCATAGAGAGGGGGACGTTGGAAGATATGCTGAGAGGTTAGGTGAGCGGAGTTGGCGGTGTGCTTGGCATGTCCTGTGGAGGAGGGAGGGCAGCTCCCTACCCCTCCTTCCTAGACGCACCAACCATCTTTACCCCCATCTCCCTTTATGCGCCCACCAGCTGACTCAAAGCACCAGTTGACGTGGCGGCAGCGGGTCAACATTGCGTATGGAGCGGCCAATGGGTTTGCGTACCTGCACCATCAGATCAAGCCGCCCATCATCCACCGCGATGTCAAGGTGTGTGTGTGCTCTGCGTAGATACATGGAATACATCATGCTCTCGTGTGTGTGAGGCGTGTAGGTATGGGGGAGGGGGAGATGAGCATGTGGGTGTGTGTGTGAGTAGAAAGATGCGCATGTGCTCATCTGTGCACATGCGTGAAAGTGTGTGTGGCAGGCAAGCATACATACATACATACATACATACATACATACATACATACATACATACATACATACATACATACATACATACATACATACATACATACATACATACATACATACATACATACATACATACATACATACATACATACATACATACATACATGCATACATACATACATACACATTTACATACATACATGTGAAGGTATGGGGGAGGGGGAGATGAGCATGTGGGTGTGTGTGTGAGTAGAAAGATGCGCATGTGCTCATCTGTGCACATGCGTGAAAGTGTGTGTGGCAGGCAAGCATACATACATACATACATACATACATACATACATACATACATACATACATACATACATACATACATACATACATACATACATACATACATACATACATACATACATACATACATACATACATACATACATACATACATACATACATACATACATACATACATACATACATACATACATACATACATACATACATACATACATACATACATACATACATACACATTTACTTACATAGTACATTCATACATACATGCGCATATGCTTGTGTGGGGTTGCAATCCAAGCTTGCCTCGCCTGTGGCATGACCAAGCATACCTGCACCATCACATCAAGTCTCCCATCATAAGCAATCCACCCCCTGCTCCCTGGCCTTTTCCCCCTTGCCCCCCTCCGCTTGCCCACCCCGCCTCCCATTGCGCGCCCCCCTCCCTCTCCCCCTACCCACCAGACGGCCAACATCCTCATCACAGCAGACCTCGAAGCAAAAGTAGCTGCCTTCAGTACCTCCAAGGACGAAATAATATGTCCGATCCTCCCTCCTCCTGCCCCCTGCCTCCTGTCCCTGCCCCCTGGCCTTGTTCCCTTCCCCATCTCCCCTTTTCCCCCCCACACAGACGGCCAACATCCTCATCACAGCAGGCCTCGAGGTGAAGGTGCCTGACTTTGGAATCTCCAAGGCTGAACGCATGCATATGCCCTGCCCCTTGCCCCTTCCCCTTTCCTCCTGTCTCCTGCTCCCTGCCCCTTGCCCCATTCCCCTTTCCTCCTGTCTCCTGCCCCCTGCCCCTTGCCCCATTCCCCTTTCCTCCTGTCTCCTGCCCCCTGCCCCTTGCCCCATTCCCCTTTCCTCCTGTCTCCTGCCCCCTGCCCCTTGCCTGTCCCCCTTGCTCCTTGGCCTTGCCCTTCCACACAGACGGCCAACATCCTCATCACAGCAGACCTCGAGGTGAAGGTGTCAGAGTTTGGCATCTCCAAGGCTGAACGCATACATACCCTCGAGACTCCTTCATTCCTCCCCCTTGCTCATTTCGCCCTTTCCGCCTGTCCCATCCTCATCCCTCTCCCCTTTCCCTTCCCCCTTGCCCCCACCAGACGGCCAACATCCTCATCACAGCAGGCCTCGAAGCAAAGGTGTCAGACTTTGGAATATCCAAGGCTGTTCCTGAGGAGGCGGAGGGAGGGAAGCTGGAGACACAAGTCAAAGGGACCGTGGTGAGTGGAGGGTGGAGGGAGTGAGGAGTGGTGAGGAGTGGTGAGGAGCGGTGAGTGAGTTTCCCTGCATCTGCGCCCTGCAGGGGAAGGGGGAAGGAGGGGCTGTAGGGGAAAAGCGTTACCTACTTGAGCTCTTTTCCTGAGGCGCCTCAAGAAGAGAGGGGGAAAAGGGGTGACTTTTGAGGCGCCTCAAGAAGAGAGGGGAAAAGGGGTGACTTTTGAGGCGCCTCAAGAAGAGAGGGGGAAAAGGGAGCAAATGAGTTTCTTGAGCCCTTCAAGTGATAAGCCGCATGGCCTTCCCTCCCCTGTCAACCCCCTCCCCTGTCAACCCCCTCCCCTGTCAACCCCCTCCCCTGTCAACCCCCTCCCCTGTCAACCCCCTCCCCTGTCAACCCCCTCCCCTGTCAACCCCCTCCCCTGTCAACCCCCTCCCCTGTCAACCCCCTCCCCTGTCAACCCCCTCCCCTGTCAACCCCCTCCCCTGTCAACCCCCTCCCCTGTCAACCCCCTCCTTTCTCCCTTCAAGGGCTATTTGGACCGCAGTACTTACAGTGTGACCTGCTAACTGAGAAGAGTGACGCGTACAGCTTTGACATTGTGCTGCTGGAACTCGCCACTGGACTCCTCCACCTCTCATGCTCATCTCTCCCCCCTTGTCCCCTGTTTACTCTCCTCTCCCTCAGGGCTATTTGGACCCACAATATTTCCAATGCGATCTTCTGACTGAGAAGAGTGACGTGTACAGCTTTGGCATCGTGCTGCTAGAGCTTGCCACTGGCCTCCGCCCGGTGACCAACGGGGAGCACATAAGACGGATCGTGATCGATAGGGTTACCAACCACGGTGGTGTGAACAGTGTCATGGACCCGGTTTTAAAAGCCATGTGTGAGGGGCAGCAGGGGGGGGATAGGGGGACCGGGGAGGGGGGAGGAGAGGCCGGAGGAGCTAGGGGAGGAGAAGGAGAAGGGGAGGGTGGAGGGGAAGGGAGAGGAGGTAGAGGAGGTGGGGGAGGTGGAGAGGTGGGGATGAGTGAAAGTAAGGAGACGTGTGGAAGCGAGGCCTTGGAGGAGACGTTTGAGTGGTTCTTGCGGCTTGCAATGCGGTGCAGCTTGAAACAGGCTCAGAACCGACCCGACATGCAACAGGTTTTGAAGGAGTTGGAAGGGATTAAGAGGCGATTGAACCGGGTTTCTGCTTCTTGTGGTGTTGGCGGTAGTGCTGGTGCTGCTGCTGCTGGCGCTGCTGCTGGCGCTGCTGGTGGTGGTGCTGCTGGTGGTGATAGTAGCAGGCGTGACAATGGCGAAGGGCACGATTGGGAAGAGGAGCCTGTGTGTGTGGCTAAGTCACAAACCAGCGACAAGTTTTGGAAAGAAATAGCTGCAGCGGCATCAGGAGGCGCTGCAAGGGAGGATTGGGGGGAGGAGGACGAGGAGGAGGATGTTTCGTGGTATGAGGAGCGAATGAAGAGGAGTGGAGAAGGTAAGGGTGGGACTTCGAGCAGCGGTGGGGATGGGTTGAGTCCGATGGTTACGTTCAGTGGGAGTGTGCATAAAGGAGACGTGAATCCCCGGTGAAAGGAGGGGAGGGGGGGGAGGGGGAGGGAGGGAGGGGGTGAGAGAGAGGGGTGTGGGGGGGGGGGGGGGGGGGGAGGGGAAGGGTTTAGATAGATGTATGGGGGAGTGGGTGGGCTTTTGGTAGTGCAGGCAGCAGTGGGGTGTATTGCAGGAGGCAGCAGCATGGGGTTATGTATAGGAGGGATGGCAGTGTGGAGGGACGTGGAGCACTGGTTGGAATGGGTTCAGTGCGATGGTGATGTTCTGTCTGTAGGAGTATCCAGCAGGTTGGGGTGGTTCTTTGATGAAAGGGGATAAGGCAATTAAGCATTGCAGGGTATTTTAAATAAAGCTAACAAATATTAAGCATACTACTGTTGTCACAAGTAATGTGCTGTATAGTCTAGCACTGTTCGTCTTACTATCACCACCACTTGGAAGGTATCATGTTCACCATCAATTCAATTTCATGCAATGTGATAGAATCCCCTGATATCTTGCGAAGCCTACGTACTTCCTTTCAGATGGGAGATGACAGCTCATATACAGTACACAAAACATAGCATAACACAAATGTACATGTGCGCACAATGACTAGCCAAATTCTAACCTTGTTACACTTAAGGAGTTGGTTTTGTCTTGGATTGTTCTATCTGCTTCTTCAGCTTCTTCTCTGCTTCATTTGTTATCCAGCAGAATTGCTTTAGCGGCTCTGCCAAGGTATCATGTACACTCCACCACCTCTTATGAGCCGCCTCATTAGCAAAGTTTCGAAGCGCAGGCACCAGAGCGTTACAATCAAACTCGCGGTAACACGCCCACGGCTTGACACCAAGGTAGTGTATAGCGTGGATTTCTGAAGGGTCTTGTGAGAACCACCTGTTTCTTATAACAAGTGCTGCTGCCCTCTTCACAGGGTCAGTGGTCCAGATGGGTTTGAGGGTGTTTATGGACTCTGGTAAGCGGTGCCACCAGGTGAAGACGTTGTTCAAGAAGCCCTGGGTAGAGGGGGAGAATCAGGGACATTGAATACATCAATCGGAGACATAGGGAGGAGGGAAGGCGGAAAAGGGATCAGGGGAAGTAACAGGGAGGGGGGGAAGAGGGGGGGGAATGAAGAAGTGGTGGGACACTGGTAAGGACAGGAAGTTGCATGGAGTGGAGGAGGGTGTGGGTGGGGGAAGATAGGGTCTTAACAAATGACTGTCAGCTCGAAGTTTGTTGGAATCTTCAGTTTGGTCTTCATGAGTGCCCTCACTTATTAAATTGTTGGAAACTTGTTTGGTACATCTATCTGCCAGTTCATGGATAATAACAGATTGCTGTAAGCGGTTTTGGTTTCACATGGATGTAACACTGATGTAACCGCAGTCCATACTACAGCAGTGGTCTCACCTGGTCCCCTCCGTTGGCCGATCGCACTCTCCCAATATTTTCCATCAGCAGCTCGAACGTGCAATCCGACGGCTCCAGGACCATCACGCCTGAGTTAAAATCTGAGCCGTCGTTTCCGCGGGCGGAGATCTCGGGGTAGGAGAAGAGAAAGTCAACGTTGGCCAACAGGAGCAGGTCCGAGTCAATGAAGAGCAGCTTGGTGTACTCCGTCTGCTGCCACAGCCGCAGCTTGCTGGGGGGGGGGGGGGTGGGGGGGGGGGGCGGGGGAGAGTCAAGGAGTCAACAGAGAAGTCAACAACGTAAAGGTATCGTCCGGGAAAAATCAGCAGCGAGAAAGAAAAAGAAAGAAAGAAAGAGAGAAAGAGAGGATTAGCCTCTCCCCTTCTACCCTCTGCCCTCTGCCTTCTGCCTTCTGCTTTCTGCCCTCTGCCATGACTACTTAAGGCCACGGCGGCCCCTCCATCTCTCATTCTTTCAGTTAGTGCTGAAAATTTTGGCGCTTCGCCCGCCGGCGCTCGCGAGCGCGGCCTACGGCCGCGCGTTAGGGATGGCAAGGGGAAGCAGCAAGCAGTAATAGCTTAGGCAACCGATGCAAACAAAGCGAGCATAGACACTTAGCAAGTAGAGGATGGAACGGGTCTACACGCGCAAGGGGGGAGCGCCTACATGCGGTCCGCCTCTACCGCAGCGAGCATTCCGCTCGTGTTCAACCACAACTGGCAGACCACAGACACGGTGGCGCCTACAACGTCAACAGGAGTACCAGGGCCTGCTACAAGCGTCCTCAGAGCCAGGGCCGAGTCAGCCAGCTGGCTGGCCGAGGTTGCTCCCGGCGAGGGCGCTACCTGCAGTGGCGTTACGAGCGCGAATAGCGCTGACGCCGCCGCATGACAATCTGCTCGCGGCTTCTGAGAGAACCTGCTCGGAGGGCTCACCGGCATGGAGTCAAATGACTCCTGGAGAATCCGCTCAAGACTCTGCAGGGACGCCGCCAGCGACCATAAACGGGCCAGGGTCGCCGTGGGAACTTCCTTCATCGGCGGAAGCAACGCAGACGCGCGAGCACGGTGAGTCGACACGCGCAGATCACGCGGAGCAGGAAGAGGATGCGGCGGAGCAAACTGAGCCCACGGCGGCCCGCCACCAGCACCCACGAAGCCCATCCCCGCAGGCAGCGGCCGCTCTGAACGCGCCGGGGATCCAAAGGGATTGCGGGGCAGGAGCGCGGAGAGAGGGACGACGGGAGCAGCGAGAGGAGCTGATGGTGACGCCGACCCCGCACGCGAGCGACGAAGCTCTTTCTCCACGTCTTCAAGCCTATCCAGAAGACGGCGCTCCATTGCGGACGGCGCTGGACCGGCTTTTCCGCCGCGACTGTCACCCCCCCGTCGCCCACGACGCGCACGCCCACTTGCGCTCGAGCGCACAGGCGACTGCGGGCGAGATGGGCCCTGCTGACGCTGTCGACCAAGATAACGGTCCCCGCAACGAGGGGAGTAGAGCCGTTGGCGTTTTGCAGGAGGGGGCGAATGCGGAGCTGGGGGCCGACGCCCAGACGTCTGGCGGGCAGGCAAGCGCTGGCGAGATGAACGATGAGGAGGCGAACGATGACGATGCGAGCGGAGGTCACGGGATCGGCTCCGCGACGCCACGCGACGAGGCGAACGAGGAGACGGCGACGAACGGGCCGCACCGTGACGATCATCGCGGCGGCTCTCCCGCTTATTGTCGCGAGCTGCCGATGAGCGACGACGGGGCGAACACTCCCGGTGCGCCACAGCCTCTGCGCCGGAGCGCAGGACGGACCCCGCGCGCATGGGCTCCGGCGGTGACACGGACCTGCCCGCGCGCCGAGCCAGCTCGCGCCGCTGGTCCTCGAAGCGGCGGCGGATCTGATCAGCGGACGCCGGGGGAGCAACAGGTACGCTCGCGGCAGGGCGTGCGGGAGGAAGCGGACGGGGAGCGGGATCGCTCTCCGCGGTGCAGTCGCGGCCCATAGCGCCGAGGAAATCCATCGGCGAGCGCTCAGGGCGCTCCACTGCCACAAGAGGAGCCGACGACGCCGATCTCCCAGGCGCAACAGGCGGCACCTGTGGCAGCCACTCCGAGGAGCGGACGGGGAAGCACGCGGGGGAGAGGCGGGCGTCGAGGAGCGCGCGGAGGACAGCGGAGTGCAGGCCAAGCGGCGAGGGGGAATCCGCGCCAACTACCGAGCCCAATCTGGTTGGGGGAGCCGGCAGAACGAGTCACGCGCCAGTCATTTGCTAGACGCGGGGGGAGAGGGGGAACGACAGCGCAAGCAGTGAGAAACGGTGATACAAACGCAGACGGGAGCGGCGACGAATATGTACCGTCAGATCTGAGGCAACCCGACAACCCCGACTCAACTCTCGCGGAAGCGGGGGAGGACCAGGCGCAGCAGCAGGAGAACGGTTCTAGACGCCGACTGAACCGCAGACCCCAACCCCCTCCGGACCAAGCCCTGTCAGCGTCCCAGCTGGCATCGAGGGAGGATCTCTTTGAGATCGCGATGAGCTGGGACTCTTCAACCCTAACGTCAACCACCCACCTGCCTATCGTCCGCCGCCTCCCGCCGCAAATACTAAGCGACTACTCCACCTGTATGCTGGCCCCCCTATTACGGATCTCCAAACTGCCCAACTGCGCGGGAGCGTGGCGGGTCCTCATGTTCCTGCCACGTCTCACCTTACGACTTAGCAAGAGGTCCAGCTCTAAGTGGAAGGTGCTGCGAGAGCAGATGCACCTATTCAGATGTGGCCACTAAAACCAGCTCTACAGTGACTACGTGGGGTCCCTGCACCAAGCCAAACCACCTCAGCACCAAAACGACCCCCTGGGAATCTTCTCACATGTGGAAGGGTTGGTGAAACGGGGTAACCTGCGAAAAGCACTGGCAGCCCTCTCACCCTCGCCAGTGGCCCCTACGACGATCGCAACATTGCAGCAGTTGGAATTAAAACATCCCCAACCCCAAGTTGAGCTGCCCGACTAGGTCCACACCTACACAACATCCACGCAATTTTCGTGCACCGCGGAAAATTTCTCAGACGTCCTTGGGGATTGCCCCAGCGGGGTTGGGGCTGTTCCATCCGGGTCAACATTTGAACACTACCGCGACCCAGCCCTAAGCAACATCGAAGTGCTGGGGCACCTACACTCCGCCGTGACACATCTTCTCTCCACGAATCTTTCCACCGAGGTTGCAGCATTACTCTCGCCATTCCGCCTCATCGCCTTCGCTAAACCAGAGGGGGGGGTACGCCCTATCGCAATAGGGGAATCCCTACTCCGTTTGGCAGCAAAGGTGGCACTCTCGGAACTGCAAGGAGAAACAAGGCGATTTTTCTTACCCCAACAATTCAGTGTGGCAGTCCCAAGCGAAGCTAAGTTCGTTATACATGCCGTCAGAGACCTCACCACTTCACATCCCTCCAGCCTAGTCGTCCAACTCGACATTGAAAACGCTTTCAACTCCGTAGAGAGGAAAGCGTTCTTCAACGCACTCACCAACACCCCGCTAGCACCGCTCATACCTTTCACCCGCTCCTTCTACGCAACGCCTTCTCAGCTGCTTACCGATCCCCGCTTGAGCACGACAGCACTTACCAACGGAAGGGGGGTGAGGCAGGGGGACCCCCTCGGACCCCTGCTGTTCGCAGCATCAATCCAGCAACACCTTAGACGCACAGCAGCAGAGCACCCAGAAGTCACGATCCTAGCATACGCAGACGACATCACCATGATCGGACCGGCGACAGCAACGCTCGGCGCACTCAAGTTGCTGACGCCGCTGCTCGCCCAGGATGGCCTCACCTGTAACCTCAGTAAGTCGTCGGCGTGGTCCACGACGCCGCTTGAGGGTGACGAGCTCCCCGAGGGCCTACAACTCACCCACGAGGGGGTACGGGTGTTGGGAAGCCCCGTGGGGTCACATCGCTTCTGCTCTGACCTGGTCCGCAGTACTTAGACAAACGCAGCGGCACCCCTGGGCTCCCTAGCATCCATCCACCCACAGCATGCCCTCCTGCTCCTGTCCCGCTGCATCAGCCGCAGAATCGGCTACTTGCTGCACACCACCCCAACGGATGTCCTTCCCCTCTCGGAATGGTACGCGTGGTGCGCCAAACTGCTCAACACCGCCCTGACTGCCGCCAGCATCCAACCACCCCGCCACGAAGCCGAGTTCAATCTTCTCATCCGCCAAGCAACCCTCCCAGTGGCCCTAGGTGGACTGGGCCTCACAGATCCCACAACAAAAGCAGCGCCAGCCTACCTGGCCTCAACGACAGAGGCACTACGCCTGCTCCGCTCACTCGACCTGCCAGCAACCGCGGCGCTAGGGAGCAACAGCAACGCCCTGCAGCCGTCTGCGGCACACTCAGTCACCATCCAAGACATGGAGGGACGACTGCCGCCGCTGGCGCTGCAATACCTCCGCGAGGAGCAAGAAACCCCGTCCCAAGACCAGCTGCAGCGGGCCCTCTCTCTGGAAGTGCACGCGGCAAAAGCCGACTCCCTGACAGAGGAATCACGCTCGATCAGGTCAGCCCCCGAGACGGGCCACACGCTCCGCCTCGTCAGCCTGAGAGGCGAGGGAGCGGGAGCATGGTTGCAAGCCCTACCCCTGACCCCAGACCTCTGCTTCTCACCAGGGCAATTCCGAACAGCCCTGGCCTTCCGCATGGGCATCCGACAGAACGTACCTACTGTGTGCGAGTGTGGAGAGCTCGTGGCCGACTGCAGCCTACCCAACCACCTACTCCGCTGCAGCACAGGCCCGGACAGAACGCGCACACACAATCAACTGGCCTTTGCCGTGGCAAAAATGGCAAGGGAGGCGAAGCTGGTGGTATACCTGGAGAATGCAATGTACTCACCACCGGATGACCCGAAGAAGGCCGATGTGATTGTGCGTGACCCAGACAGTGGAGAGACCTGGATCACAGACACGACTATCACCGACCCGGTGCTACAGAACCGGGACCCCACAGCCCGCAAACCCCCAGGCTGGGCTGCAAGGGAGGCTCAGAAGCGGAAGGAAAGGGATTACTACCGGCACACAGAACACGTGGTGTTCTGCGCCCTGGCCGTCGAGACCTATGGGGCAAACGCTCCCCCCACGACGGCGTTCCTGAAGCTGCTGGCCACAGCAGCAGCTAGGAACCGGTTCAGGGCCAACCCCCTGTCGAAATAGGCCAAGAAGATGGCCTGCCACTTCAGCCAGCGCTGGTCAGTGGCCCTCCAGCGCTCCTAGGCGAATGCCCTACACACCAAGGCCAGGGCTGGGATAGAGGCAGCGCACCCCCAGATGGCAGCGGACCCATGGCCGCTGCACCTAGGGGACATCCTCCACACGCTGGAGGGTTAGAGGGGCACTAAGGGGGGGGGGGAGGGTCAGAGGGATGGGTTGATGAGTCGGAAGGTATAAGGGAACCACGAGTCAAATTGCATGTCTGTACCCCCTGTTGAATTAATACAAAGGACCATTTGAAAGAGAGAAAGTGAGAAAGTGAGAAAGAGAGAAAGAGAGAAAGAGAGAAAGAGAGAAAGAGAGAAAGAAAGAAAGAGAGAAAGAGAGAAAGAGAGAAATAGAGAAAGAGAGAAAGAGAGAAAGAGAGAAAGAGAAAGAGAGAAAGAGAGAAAGAGAGAAAGAGAGAAAGAAAGAAAGAAAGAAAGAAAGAAAGAAAGAAAGAAAGAAAGAAAGAAAGAAAGAAAGAAAGAAAAAAGAAAGAAAGAAAGAAAGAAAGAAAGAAAGTGAGAAAGAAAGAAAGAAAGGAAGAAAGGAAGAGAGAGCCCTGGTACCAATACCTTTATTGCACAAGACAAACAGTGTCAACAGGGTATTTCAAAGAGTTGCACGGGTACTTTCAGCAAACGACACAGAAGCGCAATACGTTTTGACTTGATAGGTACACAACAGCAAAAGTTTTCAACCCGAATGTACAATATTCTTTCATATCAGCGGTATTCAACCGCTAAACACGCAATCACTGTCATACACAAGCTATAAGAACACAAACCTGTACCCTTCATTATAAGCACACAAACCTGTAGTTCCATTCGTTATAAGTCCCATTGTGAGCGTTGGGGTTGCGAATCCTCTCAACCTCTTTCACCGTCCACCCCGCCTCCCTCAGCCCTCGCCTGCTCTCCTCTCGAATCTCCTTCGATACAAGCACAACCATCTCGTGCCTGCTCCCCGTCCTCCTTATACTGTGCCCCAGTACTATTGCGCCGCACACATAGTGCTCTGATGAGTGTAGCACTGTAGCATACGCGACGCGCTGGTTGGCTGACAAAGAGGGAGAAAAGGAAGAATGGGAAGAGGCGAGTTAGTAGAACGGTGAAGAGGCGGTTGAAAGTAAAGTATTCAATACGTGCGGGCGTCGCAAGCAACGCTCGTTACAGTATGCGGGCGTCGCAAGCAACGCTCGTTACAGTATACGGCGTGCGTCGCAAGCAACAAAGCTCGTTACAGTATGCGTGCGTGCATGCATGCGTGCGTGCGTCTCAACAAATTGAATATATCGCTGGAATTGATGTCGTATCCGAGTCGTCAATTGATGTCACTTCTTGTGACCTCTCGTGTCGCATTACCTGAGACCTTGCTGTTGATAGGCTGCGCCATGGCGCAGGATCCTAGGGGCTGTACACGTGTCAGCATGTCACTGGCCGTCAGGTTGTACAGCCACGTGTCCCCCTCACGCGCCACAAGTCGCGAGCAGTGGAAGAGGTTGGGCGGCGGGCGGCATGCGGAGAGTAACATCACTGGTAACCAAGTGCGATTCGCCTGTTGCACGAGGGAATTGGGTGAAATAAGGCACAGAGTAATGCCAATGATAACACAGATTCGCCTGCTGCAGATGAGTTGGAAAAAGTATTGGGTGATGTGAGGAACTTTAATACATTTCTGTATACAGAGGCGGTTCTTACGCTGATTACGAATCCTGCGATCGTTAGGAGCTGCTGCTGCCACTGAATATCCTTCGCCCAGGAAACGCTCGGCTCGTCGCAGGGTACGTGTGCGACGATGGCGTCGACGTCGCCCAGCCAATCCGGGCTTTCCGGTTCTGGACTTTTCGGGCAGGATGAGCGCGATTCGTTCACCCATTCGGGGTACGCATTGCTCCACGTCAGATTCTTGGGCACGGACGGAACGGGTAACTCGAGAAGCTTGTGGTGCCATAAGCCGTAACGCGAAAGGTCGTAAGTTGTAGTAACATTCGCCTCAAAGTTGAAAGTTGCGATTGTCGCGAACCGCAATCGATTCTGTCGCTGAAACGAGATCAGGGCTGCGAATCCTTGCTCGTAAACGCTCGCCTTACCATCGAACGGGCGGGAATCCGCCGCTAATGCATTCATATCGAACCACTCAATGGGCGAGTGCCACGTCGCTGAGTACTGGAAATAGTGGTAAGCTACGAGGAGAAGACCGAGCGCCACGACGAAACAGCGCGCCGCTAAGAACAGCTTATCTCGAGGCTTGAGCTGCGGCAAGGGGATTAAGGAGGTAATCACTCGGTGACGCGGCGAAGGGTGCGTATCGCCGCCTTTCGGCACGCTAGACGGAGCACCGCCAATCATTGCGGAGAGGATTAGTGAATCGAGCAGCTGGTCTTAGCTGGTTGCAAAATGTACAATCTTTGGAGAAAACGGACCTGGCACAGAGCAACAGAGCTGAGAAAATGCTGAGAAAATGACTAGTTGGGAGAGTATTGGCTGCCATGTAGAATGGCAGAGGCACTGGGGACGGCAGTTCAAGCAAAAACCACCAACAGCTGTCGTGTCATTGTCGAGCTAAAGAGAAACAGCAGATTTTGGCCGCAATTCAGCGGCATTGGGCATTTCGTTCGTGATAGACATTCCATCCATCTGCTTCAAGCGAAGGCTCACGCACAGTTCAAGATCTTGTTGTATGGGGGCTCGGTTTTGGCTGTGATTGGCTGACGAGGTGCGGAAATCACACAAGGTCCCGGCGCTGCGAATTCAATACGCTTCGCGTTTTAGCCAAACCTGCAAGCTTGTCGCCAAACGTCGATTTCCCCAATCCCAACTGCAAATTTGCCTTGTAGGCTAGACACTTCAACAGGTATGGCAGCGCAGTCACATCACACAACCAGATTGATTTTCTTGCATGGCAGATGTCACTCTCTCTGGCCTTGAAAGTGATGAGGGAGATTCGTTTGTAGGGAGTGGCAGGAGGTTTAGCTAATGCGACGCGAGGGTAAGGGGGTGCTGCTCGGTGTGGGGGCGCCGAACCCGTGGGGGGCGACGGCGGTGAGGTGACGCCAATCACAACGCCCAATCACACTTGAGGAATTTGCTCGAATCGGCTATTCGTTCACGAATCTTCTCGCCAGATTTGTGCTTGGCAAATCTGGTCGACGTCAGGACATTTCTCAGGCGTTTACAGTTCTTGTATCGTGGTTCAGGACGTTTTACCACGGTGAGAAGTGGTTCTTGACGTTTACCTCTCTGCACCGTGTTGAAACGAAGTTAACCGCAGTAGACGTATAAAAAGTTGTACAACCTGACCTGTAATGAATATGCAATTCATTACTGTAGAGGCTGCTCCTAGCTAGGACAGCCCGAGCACTTTGCGTCAGGATGGCTCGTCCTACACTTTCGCACCGAGCCAATTCCGAGTCGCCCCGCACCAATCGCGACATTCCCGAGCCATGCACACCTAGAGGTTCTCGCCTAGCTAGTTTTCGCCCTATAAATGCTCGCTTTCTTCATTGTGTGATCATTTCTGGAATCACGTCTTCTTTATAAAGTCTTCCGCGCACTCTGTCTAGTAAAACTCATAACACTTGGTATCAGAGCTACTTTCCTAGCTTCCCCGTCTTTTAGAGTGTAATACCCCTCGGGGGGGGGGGGAGGACAGGGAAGGATGCCGTGGTGACAGGAGCAGCGCAAGAGCCGGCCAGGAGAACGGGTAGTTGCTCCTAGCGGCCATGAATTTCAAGGCGCTCCTGCGGCACCGACGGATCCTTGCCCTCGACGGTCGAGATGGACCGTGGCCTCCCTCCCCCCTGGTGGCGGACAGCTTTCCTGTCGTCGCATTTAATGCGTGAGTAACAGAACTCGTTTTCGGCAATTTCGGAGTTAATGCTGTGTAGTGGTTGACGTCGGCAGGCTCGTCGTCGGCGCACGTCCGAAGTTGTCGGAAGCAAGATCGTCGTGCGAGTTGCGTCGACACGTGGTCGACAGCTGCGTGTCAGAATCCCAACCACTAGACCATTGGGATAAAAGGGCTTGTTTAAGTAGCGGGTCAGTGCGCCCATAACCCCCCAGGCCAACGTGCCTGTAACCCTTTCCTAGGATCAATCGGAGATCACCAGTGGACCTCTGACACTGCGCACGACAATTATGGAGCTAGCTGCGTGCGGCAAGTGGCGATGGGCGTCTTCGTCACGTTGCGCACGAGCTGGTGGAAGTCCTCGGCAAGTGGCGCGTCGTCACTGTGCGCGAAGATTTCGGAGTAGCAGCACGTGGAAACGACTGTGGTCGAGCAGCCAGGCGCAATGTGTGATTTGCGTCAGAAAAAACCGACGACGAGGAGAGGCGGCGTGGCGACTGCCCGAAGAAAGCGGGGGTCTACGGTCGTCCCACCCGGTTGGGGTGCGTCGTGGGCATTTTTCGGCAGAGCGGCACAGTGTGGGACGGAAGTTGTTCTTCAAACCACCGAAAAGTTTGGAAAAGGCCGCCTACGACCAGACTGTTCCGGCTTGGGTGACTACTGTTTCTGGCACAATGTTCATCGGCAAAAATTTCGGAGCAACAGTGGCAGCCGATTCTGCACTTCACGCGGCACAGTTCCCTCCGGCCAGAGGAACCTGTGTTTGCAGACAGCCCAGTACACCACGGAACAACGATTCGGCGCAGCGTTTAGACCCGCGAATTTTGGGGGTTCTACCGGCTACAATAAACGGAGTTGCGACTAATACGGGTCCAGCGAGAGAAACGGGTTCCGACTTCAGGAGGCGAGAAAACAACCTAAAGCGACGACTTTTGCTGAGGCCGAGTTTCACGGCTAAGCGGCGGTAGCAGAAGGAGCTCCCTACCGGCCAAGTCTACCGACGTTTCACATACCTCACACCAGAAAAGCCTCGAAGGCAATTTGTAAGTCCTGTTGGCTACTGGATAAAAAGGTGGGGCCTTGTGTTTTAGCCCTGTGCTGGCTAGAAAGGCGTGGGTGGCGCTGGTTCGACGGCAGGGCGTTCAAGAAAATCTTCAAGCGACACTGTTTCGGCCCCGACAAAACCGGACCATCGGCAACGTTTCCCCTGCCGAAAAAAGTCGGGACTGAAGAAATTGTGGCAGCTGGTGGTGTTTCTCCTGGTTCAACGGTCTACCCAACGGCGGTGTAGCGGCGAAGATGGAGTTCCCGAAGCTATGGAGTTTTAAGTGCGATAGGCACGGTGGGCAGCGAAGCGGCCGGGCGGGCGTTTGATACGATAAACTCACCCCGGCTACGATTGTGTTCGCGCCTTCATCGAACGCCAGAAAAATCGCGGGTCAGCACGAAGAATGTCTCATCCGACAAAAGCGGACGCTGGGTGAACGGCAGCATGCGAAATTGTCGGGGGGCGAACGCAAACAAAGGAGGGAAAGTTGAGGGTGCCGCTTCAAGCTACTTGAGTGATAGGCTGAGCCCGTACACCACTCCACCGCGAATTTCGGAGTCTATTCGGTAGAACCCCGTAAGGGTTTGATATCGTTACATGGAGGCGCGGCGAGGGGTGTATTGCCAAGGATGCCTGGGATTTGCTAAGTAATTTTCTATAGGTACGAAGACGGGTGAACGTCGGAGTACCAGGGTTAACGGCGGAAATGTCGGGGCTACAAGGCAGAAAATACTTCGGGGCTTGATCCCTCAACCACGATTTTCGGGTGCAACTTCGACGGTGGAAGACGGGTGAACGTCTGCTCGCCAGCTGTTTAAGCGTTTCTCGGTGTACTTCGAAGCAGTTTGGGGGAGTTCTGCTGCGAGATCTGCGGCGTTGATGCGCGCTAGGGTCCGTGAAAATCGGTCTCGCGAGACCCATAAGTACTGGGTTCCACGCCAAAAAAGCACCCCCTGTTGGTGGGTAGCTTGGGTGGTTAACCGCACGAAAAAAATGGTGACCGAGTGGGCGCGATAGAAACACCGGTTCTTTCAGGGGACAACCTGCAGGCGACCATGACTTTACGTGGTGTGTTCATTTCCGACACTTACGGGTTTCAGCAGCAGTACTGGGAGCTGGGTCTTAGCGGAGCTCGGCGGCAACGGTCGGCAGTTCCGTTCGAAACGGCGGGGATGCAGAGGCGCTTGGTTAAGCGCGCAAAACCGACTGGAACACGATCGGCAGTGAATTCCGACTCCGTTCGGGGGTACCAGCCGCAACACCGGTAAAATTTATCGCATCAGGTTGGGGGGAGGAAGGACAGCTTTTTCGCCTCCGCCCTCAGTTTTCGGCGAGTCACGACAACATCGCCGAGGTAGCTGACGTCATCAACAGTTCATGCTCGAGTTTGAAAAAATATTTTCGATGGGTCAGGGGGAAGAGCAGCAGTTGTTTTTTCGCCTCTTCCCGGGAGTTTTTCGGCGAGTTACTGAGAAGAATTGAACGAGAATGAAATGACTGTGAACGAAGTGAGTACAAATAGGAAACCCTAATTGGGTTGTACCCCCTATGGGATACCCCACTATAGCCTACACAAATAAGTAAGCTATAATGTTCTGACACACCCCCATAGGCAAAGTGGGGGAGAACAAGGGGTCACAAGACCAGTCAAGCAAAGCAA